TGATTGGCAGTTTGGCTCCGACTGGCTTCTGAGACAGGACTCTTGTCTTGTACTCATGTCACTATGTTATAAATCATTGTATTATGTTGGTTTGTACGTCATAAACTCTATAATATATACCTACATACAGACACATATATATAGGAATATTAAAGAATACAAAACTTAAAAAAATTATTTATAAATATATATTTTTATGAAGAGTATGTGATTTTTAATTAATAAAATACGCGTAGTAATCCGAAAAATATTAGTTTCATTTAAATGAATACTTGCAAAAGTGATAAACTTATTATAAAAAATTATTGATTCTCAAAGCAGCCAGTAGACAAAAATAAGTTTGGGGTACTCTGCCATAGAGACTAATCCATCACTCTACTGTATAGTGATGTAGTGGGTTACATTTCAAACATAATATGACCTTACAAACTTTTACATTATTAAATAATTTACAGTACCTTTATTAATAAACCTTTTGAAAGTTATACAGACTTAAAACATATGAGTTCTTAAGATATTGTACATTTTTTTAAATGCAAATATCCTGTAATTGATTGCGCAATATGCATATTTTTACATAATTATTTCCTTACACAAACACACACACATTCACACAAACACATGTAAACAAACAGAATCACATGTTATTTCACTAAATCATAAGGAAGATAAATGTATCAAAATAATCTACATATTAATTTTTTTATGTATTTAACTACTAGCTTTCCGCCCGCAGTTTCACCCGCGTGGAGTTCAGAGATATCGCGTTTCCAAGAAAAGCTTCCAAAAATCAGAGATAAAAAATATCCTATGTTCGTTCTCAAGGTCAACTCCATCTCTGTACCAAATTTCATTAAAATCTGTTCAGCGGTTTAGGCGTGAAAGCGTAACAGACAAACAGACAGACAGAGTTACTTTCGTATTTATAATATTACAAGGAATATATATTTAGAGCCTTATTAAAATCCTTCCCTAATATTTTCTTATCCCTATCTTATAACTATGCATGATCTTGTGAATATTATTACCAAATATATGCCAATGATTTGTATGAAATATTCCTAAAAATTAATCAAAGCATTTGACTAAATTACTATATATATATGTTTATTATGTACAATATTATTATGTACAAGTTAATTCTGTTTATATATACTCAGTATTATTTATAATATTTTATACATAATACTGGGCTCAAATAACACAATTGTATTTCAATGTAGATCCTGTCTTAAAAGACTCTTTTAAGTTTAAAGTGAAAGAAAACTAATATATATACATAGATATGTTAAAAATAGTCAATAATTATTATTTTATGGCACAGAAAATTATTATATTTAAACAATTATATGTAAATAATGTATGTATTTGCGGTAGTTAAAGTAAGAATATTAAAAAAAACTTGAATTATATAGAATTTTTAATACAGTAACAATATTAGTACAGGTGATGTTGAACAAATAATTTATTGATGATAGAGTTTGTGTTGCGCACACAGTCTATATGAAATATTGTTACTCCACTGTTTTATATATACTGTGGTTTAAAATATTGTTAAAATAATATTTAAATAAATAAAATGAGACAATCTTGTAATAAATATTATATGTAATGTAAATAAAAACTTTCCTTCTATAGTTTTTCTTTTTGCAAAAAAAACCCTGTTAGAATTTTACTGGTGAAGGTATGGAATGTAAAAAAATATTGAAATAATGATTACAAATAGAGAACAAACATATATATATTGATCCATTATAAATAGCTTCAAATATAGTGAAAATAAGTTTTATCAAGTAATTTTCTCTAAATACTCTCAACATTTCAAATACTATGCAGTAACCGTGATCAGTGGCGGATGAGATGAGAATTAATTTTCTCATAAAAGTTACAAACATATCTTTTATATATATAATTCTTCTCTGAGTGTGTATGTCACTGAACTTCTGTCAAACGACTGGACCGATTTTGATGAAATTTTTTTTGTGTGTTCAAGGGGATCTGGGAATGGTTTAAATTCACAATTTTGTTCGCTGGACAATGATTTTTTAATTAATTTTTAATTTATTAGTAGTTGTTGATTCAAACTTTTTTTTTTGACATTAAATTTGACAACTAACTATAATATGTCAATCATTTTGTCGCACTTTTTTGTTTTAATAGGTAAACTCCAAAAATATAAATAAAAAAACGTAACAGATATTTCTTGATTATAGGGCGATACAAAGTTCGCCAGGTCTTCTAGTATATAAATACAGTGGGACCTATACATATATAAATACAGTGGGACCTGAAGATACTAGGGATTTTGTAACATTTTAAGAGGTTTTTCATTTATCCAGTTTTCCAATTAGACAGGGATTAAACTATAGTTCTCTCATTTATAGATGCTCCCATTTGAAGACTATATTGTTTCGTTTTTTAAAACCCTCTACTATCAGAAAAAATATCAATATGGAGCTTACATGGAAATTTTAAATCTTTCTCTTTGATCATTGGTCATCTTATTGGAATGTTATTATTCCAATAAGTGGACATAAATGGAAAAAATTCTAGAAATCACATCTCATTTATTCAGGCTTGAAAAGTCCACCTAACAGAGGCAATGAAAAAGTGCTGGGACGTCATTGGACATCTCAATAATAAAGTTTTCCCACACACACATCTATATATATATTTAACATCCTAATAGATTTTGAAACATAATACTCTACAATCAAATTATTTCATACTATTTTTTAATACTGCTATTTGTCTGTGTAAACTCTACATTCATTGTCAGAGACTAAACTAGCACAAAAATCTTTACTCCATGCCATATGACTATAGAAAAAATACAGCGGTTATACTGTGATTTTGCAGGAACCACACAGTTAAAAATACTTTTCAACATACATCCAGACATTCATACATCCTCACAAACATATATATAATTTTATTAGGATGTGTACAGATCAACAATTGAAGATTCAAACAAGGAAATGGCCTAAACAATATTGATACCAATAACATCGGCTAATAGATCCCATTGTGCCAATCACATAGCCTTGATCTAAATCATCATTATAACATAAATATTTATGACAGGGGACAATGTTAATATTTTGTATAACCATTGACATATAAAAGGTAAAGGTAAAAATTTAATATATTTATATATATAGCTTGATTATCAGCTGAAATTTAATAATTAAATAAAAATCTTACAAGTACAACCTGTTTAAATTCATATACCCAAACTAGAATACAGAAATAACTGGTGTGAAACATAACATTGTTATGAGATATATTAGTATAAGAAAACATGTACAAAAATTTATTTATATAACCTACAAAGTCAAGACATAACGCTAATGAGTTTTATATATATAAAAATCAAACTTCTCAACGATGTTCTTCGATAGTACATCGTAATTCGCCGTCCGCGCATCGTGTAAATAAACAAAAATTGAATTGTAAACACACGCGTAAAGAGAACATAAAAACGGCAATTCGCGATCTAAATCGGCTGGCGATCACAATTTACAGGACTTGTAACGCCGTCTTGGGAGTACGTAAAAAAAATAAGCAACGATGCTATAATGTATCTCCTTTTGTGAACGATTATATTGAAACTATGACAAGAAATGTTTGATAACTAACACTATTTTACCTTATAACGGCTGAACATCCTTCATTTACTTAATAAAACTGGGAATTAACCCGTAATAAATATCAAATGAAACACAATGGACAGTGCACATTTGACAATATCCAGACTAACCAAAACATAGCCTCTCCTGGCTTTCAAAGCTACATAGTTACACCCGAAACTATGTAAACACAAGGGTTGTCTCCCTGGAAGTTATAAGAACCTGTTTGAAGCAGCTGGAGGCTGCTGGTTTGGGCGTATTTTGTAAAAATGCTGAAGGGCTATTACAACGAATATGGCATAACACGCATACACTTTGACTGAATTTCACAATGGAACACTGCACTTTATCGCGGTAAGCCGATTGAGGAACGCATGACAGGCCACGGTATGCATTTTTTCACTCACCTTGTTGTTTATTTGCTATTTTATTAAAACAGTTTTGAAAAACTTCATATAAATGCATAGGCTCGTCATCGCTCGTCGCCATTTTGGAATTTACTGTCCAAATAAACCATAGACACTACAGACATCATTTAATTGAAGAATATTCCTGTATACGCTATTTCTACAAAATATAAATATGATAATGTATTAATTTTAGGCAAATCTTAATTTTATACTAAAATCTATTACAAGTCTTGACAGATATCTATTACAATAAAATGAGGATTTATATGCTTTTAAAATATAAATGAAGAAATATTTAAAATTACCGTTTAAATCATAAAAAAACAATATTACTATATGTAGTTGATGCATATCCTAATTTCTTTAGTATTTAATCATTGCGTCCAAATTTAGAAAACTATTAAAGTAAAATGTTAACCACTCTTAAAGAAAAACAGAAAATAAAATTGAAAAGGAAAGAAGTTCATTTACTGTAAAAAATGCAATTCTAATGGTTGGATTCACAATCAGAAAGCCGAAGTAGGTTCCTTATGTCATGAGTAAAAAAAGAACAGAATTTCAAAAAATTAATTTGTCTATAAATATCGTTTTAATTGGATGAGGTTGTGAAATATTGTGAAATGGTGTTGACAAGAGTGTAGTTGTAACATGACATTAATAACGATCAACTTTATAAATCCTACTCATCGGAAAAATATATCAAAAATCCTATAGCGAAATTTTTACATTAAATTCGAAATAAATTTCTAAATTAATATTTCAAACTCAATAGTATTTTATAAATAAATTTTGCTCACTATAGTACTTGTTTGCCATTGAGTAACACCGTTCTTATAAATATAGATACCAATCGCCATGTTTTGCTTCAAGTTGACGTAAAGACATAAGAAAAAAAGCTATACCTACAAAATTTTCGAGTGCACTTTATGAAAAAGAAATATACAATTGTCTTTCATGTAACATGTTCTCATTGAACTCCATAAACACCCAGAACCAGGTAAATAATTTGTATTATTTGAAATTTTTATATAACAATATAAATTCGATCCGTCATTATAACCTTTGTTGTTTCAGATTCTAATAAGTTTTAGTCAACTATCGTCTCGATATTCCAACGCATTTAGAAATAGAAGGAGTAACAATGTTAAGAACAAGGATTTAATAAGAAAAGAGGGCACAACAGCTCCATACAACGCATCAATATGTCCAGAAAGTTTTGATGAGGCCCTGCGTCATTTTGATAAGAATGTATTAACTGAGATGCGTAACATTGATCTGAGATATGTGACATCTATAGCCGGATCCTCTAGAAATATATTGAGAAATATAGCCGGCGTAGCATCGTCGAAAAAAGTATCATTCGTATCTACGGATTCGTTTGAGAAAAACAAAAATGGTTGGGTCACTACGCCTACGATCACCGTAGACCTGCGCCACAAAAATACTAAACTTAGTTTGACCGACAACTTTGTTGGTCTGCTTACAAAGAGCATAAGGGATAATTGCTTTAATTATAATGTACAAGTAAGAGGTTTTAAGACAGAGAGAGGTATACACGCTGATCTGAAGAGGAACCCTAATATTTTTAATAGACTACGTAAGTCTTTCGGTCAGTATTATTATATGATAAGTAGTTATAAGGGTCATGGTTAATCATCATTAATATGACATATTTATAATTGGCCTTTTCATGTTGTGATTATAAATCCTCATATAAGATTTTTGAAGCATCTTTTATACTTATAACCAACCTTTTCAATTCCAATATATTTTTATGCTGCCATTTTGTTTATGCCAAAATTCGGTAGATATCATTATCCAATGCATGTATGTATGTCTGTAGCTTTTGTTTGATAGTTATAGTAAAAACTAATAAAAAAATAATAATAATTTGATCACTTGGATGAACATAGTAAGACCAACACAATGTTTTTTATCAACTTATTTTTTTTTTCTCCTCACAGGCCAAATTAAATATATATAAAATTTTAATTATTAATTAAACAATCATTTGCATTATATTGATTTATTTCAGTAGCTTTTAGTATTGCCAATGATAATGTTTCATAATTTATCATAATACCTTTGTTTTGCTTTAGATTTAAATGTTGTATCAGCTTTTCTTGTATTTATAATGTGTATAGATATTCTTTAAAATATTTCTCATATTCTATTAATCCTCTTTTTCCAGGTCTTCATGTTTCCGACACATCTGACAACAAAGCCAACCTCGGCCCAGATGTCGCTCCACGATTGGAGAAGTTGCTCAATGAAGACTCAACTAATCTTACACACCAACAGAAGGATAAGATTAAAATTGCCTTTGCTGAGGGATATTTGGCAGGTGTGTATTAATAAAGAGAGTGTAGGCAGATTGTCGGCAGGCTATAGGTTTGAATCCTGTTTGTGGCAATGAATATTTCTTAATATATAATAAATTTAAGAAATCCTCTTTTTGTGACGGATGACCATTTTATGTGATTTTTGTTTTTGAGTTGTGTGTGTGTGAATTTTGTGATAGGAAATGTTGACAACAAAAATAAATTCAATGATGGCACATTTAATAATAAACTTTTATAATATATGCTATTGCCTATTAGTATTTTTTGGTGATTTTGTCTTTGCAACCTAAGGATAGAAAAATATTGTGTGATAAAGTAATTGATATAGTAATGAGTTAGTAGAAACATCTATATTCGGAATTATGGCACATGATACACTTTATAACTGTTTCTTCTTTATCTTGAGATTTACATACACTTTTAAGATAAATCCTAGCCTATGTTTCTTTCTAATATCTAAACTAAATAATTTAAAGTTTAATTAAAATTTATAAAGTACTTTTTTCATGTAAAGCAACTTATATCCACACAAATTTTGGCTTTTATAACATTAGTGGAATATAAGAGATTTATAATTCAGTGATAGCCTAGTGGTTAAAACGCCCGTCTCTCATGCACGAGGGCGCGGGTTCGATCCTGGTCCGGGCAAGTACCAATGTGATTTTTCTGAGTCATATGTACTTTATAAGAGTATTTAAACATCACTGATTAATGCATTCCCAAAGAGGGTTGATGTGAGGCAGGCGGCTGGTCATAAAAACAATTAGCCAAAACTATTCACAACATGTTAGGCAGACCCTGGCTATAGCTTTGAAATTGCCAGGTAGAAGAAGAGATTTATAAAGAAATGCTTCTTAATCTCTCACCAGATGGCTCGCCCGCTCGTTTGCCCCCTATGATATACAAAAAAAAAAAAAAAAAAATCTGTTATTCTTAATAGATTTCCTTTAATTTTACGTCTATCTATGTGCAATAAAATAATTTCTTTGTATTTCAGGATCACACCCTGACAATGCCCGAGGAACGAAGGCTTCTAAGTACTTAAAGCTAGTACAACAACTACTCACTATAGTACTGTTTCTGGCCATATTTGTCAGTTTGATGGCATCTGTTAGCGGCACTGTTTTCCGGTAACTGTTTATATATATCTGGTTATATTACATACATATATAGTTTTATATAACAAGCTTTGTGATATATATATATATGTTTTAATTATTACTATATTTAGAGAAATATCACAACAATTATATACCAAGTCTTTAAAACCCCACTCTTTTGCTTTATATATATATATATATATATATATGTATATACAGGGTGACTGGTGAATTACTATCGATATTTGAGGACGTGATATTTGACGATCATATATGACGAAATAAAAATTAATATAACATAAATATTAATAAACTTCTAAGTAAAGTTAACCAAAAGTTATGTAATTAATTACGCACCGTGTGAACACCCTACAGATTAGGTATACACACACACACACATACGCGTGCGGCGGGTAGTGTTGTATCAGCACGCCGCCGCACGCGTCCACACTTAGAACACTTGGAACGTGTCCACACTTTATTTATTTATACGGAAATTTTGTCAAAAATTAAGTACCTATTTTTTTACATAATTCGAATGAGAATCATGTACCGAGTATTCTCCTTAAATATTGATAGTAATTCACCAGTCACCCTGTATATATACTAAAAGACTAGAAGTTTTTTATTCATATTTTTGCAGTTTACCTATTAAAGCCATAAATATCCGTGTTTTGAAGTGCGACAGCTTGATTGACATATTAGTTAATTTTCAAATCTAATGTAAAAAAAAAGTTTGTCAACAAAATCAACAACTCCTAATTAATTAAAAATAACTTAAAAAAACATTGTCCAGCGGACAAAATTATGAATCTAAACCATTCCCAGATCCCCTTGAACACACACAAAAATTTTCATCAAAATCGGTCCAGTCGTTTGAGAAAAGTTCAGTGACATACACACTCACAGAAGAATTGTATATATAAAGATATATAAATATAATAAGTTTTAATAGATAAAAGCTTAAAAGAAAAAATACGATTGGCCGTAGGGATGTATGTTGTATTTCATAGTTAACATAAATGCAGAGTATAATCAGTATATATATAAACATACGCAGGATCCAGTTGGGTAACCAGGTGGAGGTGGACCCTGAAGATATAACGGTCACCTTCGATGATGTCAAAGGAGCTGACGAGGCCAAGCAGGAACTCAAGGATGTGGTGAGTATAATGTTGATAGAACATTTACAGGGGTAACGGTAGGCTCTCAAATATGTATCGTCGGGTATAGTGCAAATCCTCGTAACTAGCGTTGGATAATTCCGCGTATCTACATTGGAAGCAGATTATTATCAGAAGAAAGTTTGAAATGAAATATTTTCTATATTAAGGACTTTTAAGGTAATTTTTTTCACAATTAGTAATAAATTAGACACCAAATAATTACCCGGCGCGACTATACGGTGCCTTAACCTTTTATGGGTCAGATGTTTGAAACATTTTTTCAAATTTATTTAGCCTATGCACTGTAACTGACCTCTGCTTGATATTTTTAAAGTTATACTATTTTTTATAATAAGCTTATACTTATATGTATACATGCCTTTAAGGAAGGACACAGTTTTTAGAACACCCTGTATATGTATCTTAAAATGTTCTTTTAATTTTTACGTGAACTAAAGAATAGTAAAAGTTGTTTACCAAATATTGGAGTCAGGTTTCAGTCTGGGTTTTATCAATAAACTATCAATTTCTAAAAAATATTTCAGCTTTAATGCAAGTAGGTGATCTTCTACATCTAATACCATGTGGTTGTTTTTCCTGATCAAACACTTAACTTTATAGTTGCAAGTCTATAAAATCCTTTTGAAAGCTTTAATTGAAGCTTATGCATTTTCAGACAAATTCCTGGTTGACAAAATTATTTTTAATTTCGTTTCTTCAGAAATGTTTTATCAAATTAACAATATCATATTATGTATTGTACACCAAATATTTTAAAAAAGTGAATTGTGAAAATAGGTAGTTAAATAATCCAAGTAGCTATCTTTACCAGAAACAATTACTATTAAGAGCAAGGGTTCCCAAATTTATTTAATCTACTGGCAAATTTGAGAATCAATTAATTTTTAGAGCCCCCATTGTTTCACCTGCTAAAAGATCACTATAACATATCCTAGATTTCTACACAACACCCCAATTTTCTTTTTGTATCTCTCACACCTCTTAAAGCCTGCATTATCCACAAGGGGGCGTTATAATACTTTGGGAAACTCTGATTTAATTACATCCACAAGTACTATCTATCTTATCTAAGGGTACTATCATTCACTTTGGGAAACTCTGTATTTAATGTAATACCATACCATACTTTTTCCAGGTGGAATTCCTGAAATCTCCGGAGAAGTTTTCATCATTGGGCGGCAAGTTGCCCAAAGGTGTTTTATTAGTGGGTCCGCCGGGTACAGGCAAGACGTTGTTAGCTCGAGCTGTGGCCGGTGAGGCGAGGGTGCCGTTCTTCCACGCGGCGGGACCAGAATTCGATGAAATCCTCGTTGGACAGGGCGCTAGGCGTGTCAGGGATCTATTTAGTAAGGATAATATGTATATAGAATTGCTATTAATTTAATGGGAATATATGGATATTCTTCTTCTATTAAATATTTAATTACTTAATTAGTTTTCTCCCGTGATTTCGTCAGTGTTAATTTCGGAACTACATAGTAATATATTATGTATAGCTGACCGGGGGAACAGTATTCCGCCCTACAGGCCATAAATTATAAGTAATTTTTTTGATTGAACTAAATACCCAATGTTTATCTCCTAGTTATAATCTACTAGCTTTCCGCTCGCAGCTTCGTCCGCGTGGAGTTCGGTTATATAACGTTTCCAAGAGAACCTTTCGAAAGTCTGGGAGAAAAACAATCCTATGTTCTTTCTCAAGGTCAACTCTATCTGTACCAAATTTCATTAAAATCAGTTCAGTTGTTTAAGCATGAAAGCGTAACAGACAGACAGTTACTTTCGCATTTATAATATTATTAGGGATAAAGGATTGATTTTTGATTAAAGATAATATAAGTCTTAACTTATATGATTATCAAATAAAAATTAACCATTTTTTGCCCGCGATTTCTTCCGCATTAATTTTGGAACTAGTAATATATTTATAGCTAACCGGGTGAAATCTATTCTGTTGTAGAGGCTGTAAATTATTTTTTTTTAGAACAGAATTAAATATCCAATATTTGTCTTCCAGTTCTAAGCTATTTCCCGCCAATTTTCACCCATATCTCTACAGCCGTTGTTGTTTTATAAATAGTGTAACTAACACGACTTTCTTTTATATATATACAGGGTGACTGGTGAATTACTATCAATATTTAAGGAGCATACTCGGTACATGATTCTCATTCGAATTATGTAAAAAAAATAGGTACTTAATTTTTGACCAAATTTCCGTATAAATAAATAAAGTGTTGACACGTTCCAAGTGTTCCAAGTGTGAACGCGTGCGGCGGCGTGCTGATACAACAACACGCCGCCGCGCGCGAGTGTGTGTGTGTGAGTATACCTAATCTGTAGGGTGTTCATACGATGCGTAATTAATTACATAACTTTTGGTTAATGTGGCGAACATACACAGTTACAATTACATATACATATTTATCACACACATATACATAATTGTTTATATATACATACATGTTTAATATATTATAAATTATGCTTAGAAATAAATAACAAAATATTTACATAAATATAAGCAAATACAGTATTATGATAACATCTCAAATATACATATATAATTTTATATTTTAATTCATAGTTAGAACACATATTTATATTATAAATTTTATATATTTATATTAAATCGACACACACAAAACATACGACAAGTTTTGTATATACGTAACACGGACCGCTCCCTGCGCCCGCGTACCTGCGGTCGTGTCCGGAGCCTCGCACTTCGTCTCATTCTAATTAGTCACGAACAGACGTTGTATGCGAAGCCCGTGCCACTTTTATGCGCTCGTTAGCTAGCACGCTATACGTATATACATTTAAGGTTAATCGTTTTACGTTGTTACTTTGCACAGTAACAGTTAATTATCAGCTTTTACACATCTATACTGGTGACCCCGCAAAAATAATGAGCAGTGATAGCGGAGACTCAGTGTGCTCGCAACCAAGTGCGCAACGAAAAATGTGCAGAAAACCAGGGCGTGGCTCAACGGTTCCGGAGGCGTCCGACATTTGCCGCGTTGGTGTCCGCATCCCGCCATTTTGGCCGGAGAAGCCGGCTATATGGTTCGCACAAATTGAAGGTCAGTTCGCTATATCCAGAATAACTGAAGACACCACCAAGTTCTACTACGTAATCGCTCAGCTCGACAACCTTTACGCTTCGGAGGTCGAGGACATAATTACTTCACCTCCGGAGGCGAATAAATATGACAAATTGAAGAGCGAGTTAATTAAGCGTCTGTCGGTGTCGAGAGAAAACAAGGTAAAACAACTACTTATGCACGAAGAGTTGGGAGACCGGAAACCATCGCAGTTCCTCAGACACCTGCAGCATTTAGCAGGTCCTGCGGTGCCTGAGGACTTCCTGAAAACAATCTGGACCAGCCGTCTGCCCAGCTCGATGCAGACCATCATCGCATCGCAGCCTACTCTGCCGATAGAAGCGCTAGCGGATCTAGCTGACCGCATTAACGACATCGCACCATCCAATCCCCAGGTGGCAACAACATCCAGGTCGGAGTCCGCGTTCGAGGTCATGACCAGACAGATAGCTGAACTCACCAAGCAAGTAAGCGAACTGTCCGCAAGAGTCAATCAAAGGCCCAGACATCGGAGCAGACGTTCGTCGCGTCATCGAAGCCCGTCTCCAGCACATAGATCGCGCTCAAGCCACAGGAAGTACCCCGTCTGCTGGTACCACCACAAGTTCGGAGACAACGCTACAAAGTGCAACCGGCCATGCGACTTCAAATCGGGAAATGCCACAGGCAGTCGCTAATGGCGGCCGACGATTGCCTCACCGCGAAGGGTCGCCTGTTCGTCACTGACCGCAGATCGAAGGTCCAATTCTTGGTCGACACTGGAAGCGACCTCTGCGTCTTCCCCCGGTCTGCGCTTCGTGAACGTCGTGCGGAAACGAACTATCAGTTGTGTGCAGCAAATGGTTCCTCAATTAGTACATATGGTTATGTAAATTTAAATTTAAATATAGGCTTACGCCGTGATTTTACATGGAAATTTATAGTAGCTGATGTAACTAAAGCAATAATTGGAGTTGATTTTTTGTCCTATTTTAATTTAATAGTAGATGTACGCAATCAGCGCCTAATTGATAATACAACTAATGTATCTACTTTTGCTATTCTCGCATCACCACTTGTAAACGTATCTAGTGTTAAGATCTTGACGAGTAGTGGTAAATATAATAACATTCTTTGTGAATTTCCAGAAATCGTTCGCCCCGCTGGTACACCACGCACTGCCAAACACAACACTTTACACCACATACGCACAACACCAGGTCCACCCGTCACATCCTCTCCTCGCAGATTAGCCCCTGACAGATTAAAGATTGCCAAGCTTGAGTTCGAAGCCATGCTAGCAAATGGAACAGCACGACCATCCGAAAGCCCGTGGTCGTCACCGCTTCACCTCGCTCCTAAGAAAGACAACGGTTGGCGTCCTTGTGGCGACTACCGTATGTTAAATGCGCGAACGATTCCCGACAAATATCCAATTAGGCATATTCATGACTTTGCTTACAATTTGTCAGGCTGTAAAATATTTTCGACGATTGACCTCGTGAAAGCATACAGCCAAATTCCGATCTTTGAAGCGGATATACCTAAGACGGCAATAACAACTCCATTCGGATTATTTGAATTTCCGTTTATGACATTTGGCCTTCGTAATGCTGGCCAAACATTTCAACGTTTTGTCGATGAACTCACTCGTGGTTTAGATTTCGTTTTCCCCTATGTCGATGACTTTTTAGTCTTCTCTAGGACAGAGGCTGAACACGAAGACCATCTTCGACAACTTTTCTCTAGGCTACGTGACTATGGTATCCTCATAAATACCACCAAATGCGTTTTTGGAGCCTCAGACGTGAAATTTTTAGGTTACCATATATCGCAGGATGGTACAAAGCCGCTGGACAGCAAGGTACAGGTAATTAAGGATTTCCCAATACCTAAAACGGTACGTCAACTTCGACAATTTCTAGGCATGGTGAATTATTACCGGCGATTTTTACCCAAATCGGCCGAAATACAAGCTCCTTTGAATGCCCTATTAGCTGGTTCCGTCAAAGCTGCGCATCCCATCAACATCGAAGGTGAGTCCCTAAGAGCGTTCAAAACTTGCATCGAAAGCCTTTGTAATGCTGCCTTGTTGGCTCACCCCAACCAGGATGCTAAGATAGCACTCGTCACAGATGCTTCTGACGTCGCGATCGGCGGAGCGTTGCAACAGCTCGTCAATGGTAAGTGGCAACCACTAGCTTTCTTTTCTCGCAAGTTAAGTCCATCACAGAAGAAGTACTCGCCGTATGATCGAGAGCTCCTCGCGATATACGAAAGCATAAAATACTTTCGCTACTTCGTAGAAGCTACACACTTCACCATATTTACGGACCACAAACCATTGTGTTACGCCTTTCACGATCGCAAGCGTAATTGCACACCACGGCAATATAGACATCTTGACTTTATAGCACAATTTACGACAGATATTCAGCACATCACTGGGTCAGAAAACGTCGTCGCTGACACACTGTCCCGAATAGAAGAACTGCAAGCGCCAGTTGATCTAGAGATATTAGGTAAGTCACAGGCTAACGACACTGAACTAGCTCAGTATCTTCAGTCGCAATCGTCTCTTCGATTGAAGAAGATGAAATTACCTGGAAGTCGAATCGAGCTGTACTGCGACGTAAGTACATCGACTCCCAGGCCATTCATCCCAGGTCCATTGCGCAAGCAAGTTTTCGACTCCTTACACTCCTTAAGCCACCCCGGTGCTAATGCAAGTGCTAAGCTAGTCGCTCAGCGTTTTGTTTGGCCACAAGTGCGTAAGGACTGTCGTGAGTGGTCTCGGGCATGTTTAAACTGTCAACGTGCCAAGGTGAACAGACACGCTTCTGCACCACTAGGTACTCATGACTTACCTACTGCACGTTTCAAATATGTCCATATAGATCTCATCGGACCATTACCACCTTCTCACGGTTATCGGTATTGTCTGACCGCCATCGACCGCTTCACGCGGTGGCCGGAGGTTGTCCCGATAACCGATATTACCGCAGAGACAGTGGTCAAAGCACTCATATCCGGCTGGATCTCACGATTCGGTTGTCCTACAGACATAGTAACTGACCGTGGTAAGCAGTTTGAATCAGCCCTATTTCATCACTTGTCCAAAATCATTGGATTCAAGCATAGAAAGACCACTGCTTACCATCCACAGTGCAACGGGCTGGTCGAACGATTTCACCGTCAGCTTAAGACGGCTATCGTTTGCCACGCAGACAGTAACTGGACCGAGTCGTTGCCTTTGGTCTTACTTGGCATCAGGAGTGCATTCAAGGAGGATCTGCAGTCATCCTCAGCAGAGTTGTTGTATGGAGAAGTTTTGAGACTTCCGGGCGAGTTCTTTGGACATAGGGTTGATCCTCATACAACGGATATCACGGACCTTTCAGCTCGCATACGGTCATTCGCCGAAAACTTACAGCCTGTCCCCACTTCTCATCACAATAAAAAAAAAGTCTTTGTTTACAAAGACCTTTCCACTTGTTCCCACGTATTCTTACGTGAGGACGCTTTGAGAGCTTCTCTTCAACCAGCATATACTGGCCCGTATGAAGTGGTGACTAGAGACGCTAAAGTATTCAAAATTAAAATAAAAGGCAAAGATGTCACAGTATCAGTAGACCGATTAAAACCTGCCTACATATTGTCTGACACTAACGCCTCCAACGAAACTTCCACCACTACAACCCCCATCATCATTCCCATACTAAAAAACGCTCAAACTCCAGCCGTAAAAGCTACTCGATCGGGACGTCATGTTCGGTTGCCGGACTACTTTCGCCCGTAACACGGTCTCTGGAGGGGAGTGATGTGGCGAACATACACAGTTACAATTACATATACATATTTATCACACACATATACATAATTGTTTATATATACATACATGTTTAATATATTATAAATTATGCTTAGAAATAAATAACAAAATATTTACATAAATATAAGCAAATACAGTATTATGATAACATCTCAAATATACATATATAATTTTATATTTTAATTCATAGTTAGAACACATATTTATATTATAAATTTTATATATTTATATTAAATCGACACACACAAAACATACGACAAGTTTTGTATATACGTAACACGGACCGCTCCCTGCGCCCGCGTACCTGCGGTCGTGTCCGGAGCCTCGCACTTCGTCTCATTCTAATTAGTCACGAACAGACGTTGTATGCGAAGCCCGTGCCACTTTTATGCGCTCGTTAGCTAGCACGCTATACGTATATACATTTAAGGTTAATCGTTTTACGTTGTTACTTTGCACAGTAACAGTTAATTATCAGCTTTTACACATCATACGATGCGTAATTAATTACATAACTTTTGGTTAACTTTACTTAGAAGTTTATTAATATTTATGTTATATTAATTTTTATTTTGTCATATAATATGATCGTCAAATATCACGTCCTCAAATATCGATAGTAATTCACCAGTCACCCTGTATAATATATAGATATGATAATATGTAGATTCGTTATACTTCTGTTCATATATAATACTAGTAAACCTGGCGAACTCCGTTTCGCCACCAGAAGGCTTTTATATAACATTTCGTTTGGTGATTAAAAGATGAAGAATTTTTTGTTTTATAATTGAAAAGGAAAATTTTTATTTCATTTCACAACAGTAATGAATTCATTTCGATTACAAAAATGAAGTGTTATTTAGTTGAACTTCTCTAAGTAAATGAAAGTGAATCCAAAGTAGATACCGAATCGAAGCGTTATACGTGTCCGCAAATTATCCGTTTCATTGAAGTGCTCCTTTGTAAACCACATTTTTTGTTTTTTGGTCTAACTTTAACACAAATAAAGCGTATGTTTTCCAAACTCGTGAACACGCAAAATATAACTGCCCAATGCCCATGTGAAAAACAATGATTTTCTAAATTTATCCCGCAAATACTAAATGGTTTTAAGAGTACAATCTACAAACACAATACCTAAATATTTTTATATAGTAGATTTCTTACAAATATCTTTTTGTCATCCATACGTCATTACATATCTGTCATTATACGTCAATTGCATAGCTGTCAATTGTGTTATTCCACGTTTTATAGTGACTGACGTTTCATGTCAAGTCACACGGAAATGCTGTCGAACGGGATAAAAAGTATCCTATTGCAATTTCCTGGTTCTAAACTATCTCCCTGAAAATTTTCAGCTAAATCGGTTCAGCCGTTCTTGGGTTATAAGTGAAGTCACTAACACGACTTTCTTTTATATATATAGATATAATGACATAAAATTTATAAGTTAAAAAAAATCTTATCAATTGATACTAAATCCAAATAAAACATAAATATATAACATTTATTTTTAAAACTAATACTAATATATATATATTATAATATGTTTCAGAGGCGGCCAAGGAGCGCGCACCCTGTGTTATATTCATTGATGAGATCGACTCAGTGGGCGCCAAACGTACCAACAGCGTGTTACATCCGTACGCCAACCAGGTATTATAAATATATAATAAATAATAATAAATATTAAAGAGGTTTGTGAAAATTTTCGACTTACAAACATATATGTACATACATGATAATAGAATAGTTATTAAAAAATCTTTGGAGAATTTTTTTAATGTTTGTTAATATATATTTAATAATTTCTTCATTTAATTTATTGGCTAATAACTAGAGTAACAAACCTATAATACTGAAACGACTTATCTTTGTTAATTGAAAAATCGTTTCATATATTGAATTTATTTGAAAAAAACTTGTAAAAAACACATGTCTTATGTCTTATGTTTAGTTTATAATTGCCAATTGTGTAAAGGTTTATTTCCTCAATACCCTGAAAATTTTGAAGTTTTAACTTTTAGAGTATTAGGAAAGAAGAAGTTTTATTTTTCAAACAGTAATCATTATTAATAATTAATATTTTTTGGGATCAAAATTTACTTGAGAAAATTACAAATTATTATGTATCCAATAACATTTTTCGCACATAACTAATACAATAATACATTTATTACAGACAATAAACCAGCTATTATCGGAGATGGATGGGTTTCATCAGAACGAGGGTGTGATAGTACTAGGAGCCACTAACAGAAGAGATGACCTGGACCAGGCGCTGCTGAGACCCGGGAGATTTGATGTGGAGGTATGATGTGAACATACTGTATAATATAACATATACTACTCAGAGATACATACTGTATAAAGATATTTTCACACAGATATTTTCAAAGCTTTATAAAAGTTATTTAAATTGGAACATCCAGTGGAGATTCAAACATTATTATTATTATCATTTGAAAACAACAAACAAGGCAAACAATAAAACTTATTTGTGTGTACACAACCTGCTAACTTATTAAAACTATCAAATACTTTTTATTAAAACGAACAACATTACCATTTTTTTAGTTCAATCTCAACTGGTCACACCTCACACACCTTAACTTTACACTTATTTTAGTTTTATTTAAAACGACAATATTGAAAATTTACTCGTATTTAATTTAGATAAAACACATCACAAGCACAGAGCTCACATTTATAATTTTCCATAATTCGTTAATAAATCAATCCACTGTTTACTATTTAAAACTTGCGCTTAAAAAAACAAATGACAATATTCAATAATAATAAAATGGTGAAAAAAATATATGAACAGTTTACTGACCAATCAGAGAGTCCCGTTGTATTTGACAATTAACGGACTTTATATGAGACTTTTAAACAATAAAAACATGCAGTGTTTCTCAAACACATGCATAGTTTTGCTTTCACATAGCGTTGCCAGGTCGCCAAACCTAATAACCGGACAGACCAGCCAGTTTGGCCGGACATTTGGTTAAAAAAAGCCGGACACCCTATATTATTGAGGATTTTATGCTAGTATTAATAGGTACGACAATATTTTTTTTTGTAAAATTAAGTCTTTTTGATTATTATTATCATAAATCATGTTAATTTCTAGTGAAACAAAAAAAGACGTGTGGCATTCGGGAACTGCCGCGGTAAAGCTATTGCATAGCATTTTGTATCAACTTATGCAATTATAATTATTTATTTTTATTTTATTCATGCAGTATTCCTTTTTCTTTGATATTAATTCAAGTTACACTTTTTGAGCGTGGTGACCGATAAGAAAACAAATTTTTGTTTTATTAAATAAATAAAATGTTAATATTGTTTAAAATATTTTTATTATTTTATTTAAAATATTTTTATTATTTTACGTCGTACAATGCGTCTTATCGCACGCACACAACGCCGTGTCGAAAAATGCCGAACTCAAACGACGGTAGACGATCCACGGCCTTCAAGCCACACCTCCGTGCCCGTCGGAGTGGGCAGCGTGAGGTTTTTTCGTTACTGAATTTCTGGATTCGGTACCCGCGCTCAAGGCCCGCGATAGAAGCTATGCAATAGCTTAATAATAAATAAAATCGAATGTCAAATCAGTCTTAGATAGGCACTTTATTATTAATCATTCAAAATTAAATTCTAGATAATTAAACATTTATCAACATATTTGAATTTTTCTTAAATAATAAGAAAGGCACGAATTATACTTTTTTAACTAAAAATATAAAAAGCCTAACAAAAGCCGGACAAGACGGACACCATTTATTTTAGCCGGACATGCAATCAAAAAGCCTAACTACATATGTGGCTTATACAAACATTTCCTGCATACATACACGAGATTTGTAGATCGTCCTTGACAAATCGTGAATCAAATGTCATATTAAATGTCTATTAACATTTGTATTTCGTGTATGATTAAAATTATGTAAGTAAGAATTTGACAATATAGGTTTAGTTGTTATATGGGTATAGTATGCAGTGCTTATTTGTATATATATGTGTGTGTTATTTTCCAGGTGTCAGTTCCAACTCCAGACTACGGCGGTCGTCTGGAGATACTCCGCATGTACGTGTCTCGTGTGGCGGCCGCGCCCGGCCTCGACGTAGAGGCTCTAGCGCGAGGGACTACAGGCTTCACGGGCGCTGACCTAGAGAGTATGGTCAACCAGGCCGCGCTGAAGTGAGTGAGATAGATAGATATTAGATAGGACAGAGAGAGATGGATATATGATGCAAAGTGTCTGTGATATTTAAAGTTGAAATAAAAATCTTAAGAATGTATGTTTGATTATTTGCACAAGTGAAATGTTTAAGAAAAATATTCTATCAGATCTGCTCGTCCTATTTTCAGTCGTTTTATAATTTATGTATACAACAAATAGATATTCTTATTTTTAAACAAATTCTGGATATATAATTGGTTTTAATATTTTTTTTAAATAATTTTAACTTTCACTATAAGTTCATATTGTTTTGCTTAGTCATATTTAATTAGATAGCTGTGGTCTCCTGTAATTGAAAGTGCACAAATTTCTGTAATATTTGATTGATAAGTTTAAATTTGTACACCGTGTATCTTTTGTTGGGGATCCTCAAATAAATAAATAGGTAAACAGAAAGATTTACACTCGCGTACGAGTCACTAGCCGAAGTACATAATAAGGTGATTAAATACATAATAATTCGCTTGTGTTAATGGCTCAACCTATCATATTATTATGCGAAGGCGAGTGAAAATCTAGCGTTAAAATATTATTTCATTCTGATATATGCACTATGCATTAACTACATAAACAAGCGGTCAAGCACCAATATTAACTAAAAGTGCTCACAAGTAAATTTGACGCACCAATACTTTAACATTATATAAAAATACTTGTTAGGAGATAGTGTAATTGATTGTAACTCCTAACAATTATGTGGTATCTGTTTGGTGTGTATCTGAATATGTTGTTAATTTAGACATTATTATTATTATAAAGTCTATATTCCTTGTTAACTTTTATTCTGAATGTGTTGCTAATTTAGACCTTATTGTTATTATAATAAAGTGTATATTTCTAGGGCAGCGATCGAGGGCGCGAAGACTGTGAGCATGTATCACTTAGAGGAGGCTCGGGATAAGGTGCTGATGGGCCCGGCGAGGAGGGCGCGCCTGCCTGATGATGAGGCGAACGCTATCACCGCCTGCCATGAGGGGGGACATGCGGTCGTCGCGTACTACACTAAGGTAGAATATACATAACTTGTTTCTCCTGTTACTCGACTACATAGAGTCAGTAACTCCTTTGTGGGGCAATGTATACGGTTTTACAACAGGATCCCAGAAACCATTCAAAATGCCTCTGTTGCTAGATTAAAAAAAATTATTAAGAAACGCTTGTGTGCAAAAGGTTACTATACAATTAATGAGTTTATGATCGGTAGCACACCTTGGGAATGAAACGATCGCCTCCTGACTATTTCATCTCATATTAAATTGTGTATATAATATATGAGACAAATATATTTAAAAAAAACCCGCTGAGTTTCTTTCGCCGGTTCTTCTCAGGTCAGGCTATTTTCTTTTCCGAACTGGTGGTAGTGTCTCAAGTGACCATCAATAAGAAAGTGTAATGCTTCTATATTGAATAAAGTTATTTGAGTGGAGTTTAACATTGTGGCGAGTAAGCAAATGCGGCATAACATCATTATAACTATTTAATACGGCAAAATTTTACACATGGTAGCGCCTAGGTAAGTCATAATTATAGCTCGAACATATTCTGGCTCCACCGTTGAAGTACCACCCTCTCACAGAAGATCGGCGTGAAGTAGCCTTTATAGGCTGCGTTTCGTCCGATGAGTGAGACAGACGGTTGCGCTTTCTCTATTTCCACGTTTCACATAAAAAACTGCTGCGTTTAGATGTCCGAGATGCATTTGATCAGTCGACACATAATAATACAATTATATCTATATATTCAAAATAATATTAAATTGATCGTTTTTATATTGCTTTTACTTCGTAATATATTTAGTGCGTATATTTAATTATAGAATACATATGCATATTTCTTTAATTTCATCATACTATATATATATTCTATCTATTTTCCAGGATTCTCACCCTCTCCACAAGGTCACTATAATCCCACGCGGACCTTCCCTGGGACACACAGCCTACATACCCGCCAAAGAAAGGTTATATATTATATAATATGTTATATATAACTCTTATTTAGTGTAATATTAAGATCACAGTTACAAATTCCTAGGACAAGCCATATTTTATTCCTACATACTATGATAATTAATTAATTAATATTTATGAAACATTTTATCTTCTTTTAAACATAAGTTGTTTTGCATATAATATAATATTTGTTAATATCTTATTCTGTATGAATTTTTGTTGTTATGTAAATTGATACATAAATATATTTTTTTCTGTATGTAACCTATAAACTTATATTTTCTAGTGTCCTATTTAAATACATAGTTTTTTGTAATTTTCATTTATAAAGTAAAAAAGTATGAAAAAACTTAGATATATATTAATTATATCAAATATAAGTAAATATTATTTATTAAATACCAGTCTATGTATACATATAGTTTCAAAGCTATCAACAGTAATAAAGGAATAAATGAGCACTTCTTATTCTAATATTAATCTAGTATTATTATTTTGTTAATAATAATATGAAGTAAGTAAACTATTATTGTATTCAGATACCACGTGACCAAACAACAACTCCTGGCTATGATGGACACCATGATGGGCGGGCGGGCGGCGGAGGAGCTCGTCTACGGGCCGGATAAGATTACATCGGGTATATACACACACACACACACGCACACACGCACGCACGCACGCACGCACGCACGCACGCACGCACGCACGCACACACACACACACACACACACACACACACACACACACACACACACACACACACACACACACACACATACACACCTAATAATAGTTCAGCTTATGCTGGTCACCTCCAACTTTTTACTAAAAAAAATCATACTTTAATGCACATCCTTAACCAGGTTACATGACCTATATGGTTATGATGCTGCCAATTTATATATTAATAAAATAATCATCAGTAACTCTCATCGTCATAGTAACTAGTATTAGCCATTTGCGAGATGCACCGCGCTAAATTATTGTCCTATACAGTCGTCCCATGAAATGAGGAGTTTTAAAATAATAAAATTACGCGTAGAACTTTCCAAAATATTTCTTTTATTTCAATGAATACTCTTGAAAGTATCTAATATTTAAGATTTTCGCGAGTCTTATTCGTATAAATGAAACTAATATTTACGGGCAGACGAGATCTGATTTGCCCTTGATCAGAGTTGCTTAAAACTAACCTAAACGTCGGGAGTATTTGTTTCTTACCATAAATAAAGTCGCGTAGTACATTCGAAAAATATTAGGCATGCATATTAATTAGAAAAATACTAACAAAAACAATACACACACAAATAGCATTTAAAACTAAAACATATAAACATAACACGAGAAATAAACAAACTTGAATTACCCAAGACCAGGACCAAATACGGAATTAAAACTATACAGTTTGAGGGAGCGAAACTACATATATAATAGCTTACCTAACAAAATTACTTAATGTAAAAACCAAGATTTTTAAAAGGAAATTATCGGGTTATTGAAGGGAGCACTTAGATTGACCACTCTTGAGTTGTATAAGTGGTTGCTACTGTACTAAATTGTTGATTGAATTGAATTAATGAACACATCTCATTTAAGTGAACATTGTATGTTCTTTATGAGAAATAAAGTTCTTTAACCACAAATACTCTTGAAAGTGTTATATGTCATTAATATAATATATATTCAGGTGCGTCATCGGATTTGAAGCAAGCTACTTCCATAGCGTGTCACATGGTCCGCGAATGGGGCATGAGTGAGAAAGTGGGTCTGAGGAGTGTGGACACTGGCAAGACGCTACAGCAAGAACAGTTGGGGCCCTACACCAACGAACTGGTCAGATATTATATATTATACTTATATTATACTAGCTGCGCCCCGCGATGTTACCCGCGTATTTCCGGGATGTAAAGTAGCCTATGTGCTATTCCTGGACGTCAGCTTCCTGTATACAAAATTTTGTCGAAATCGGTTCTGCCGTTTGAGCGTGAAGAAGTAACAAATATACATACACACTCACAAACTTGAGCAATTATAAAATTATATACTAGGGGCCATACATAGAGTAATACACGTTAATTGAAGGGAAGGTATCACCGAAGTGTGATAAGAGGCATGGAGTCAATAGTTTAATGACATTACATATTAAAATTTCAAATAATTTGATTATAATTTAATAAAAATAAGTAAAAATTAAAATAACTGCTTTCTATTGGTATTTTTCTATAAAAAATTGAATATCTGTGACGAGGACAGGGGGAGGGGTTCAAAAGTCCTGAAATTGGTGTGACATGTTTTATGGATAGCCCCTGACATATACTTGTTGCTGTACGTACAATATATATAACTAGCTTTCGGTTCGGTTATATCGCGTTTCCAAGAGAACTTTTCAAAAGTCTGGGATAAAAACTATCCTATGTTCATTTCATTAAAATCAGTTGAGTGGTTTAGGCGTGAAAGCGTAACAGACAGACAGAGCTTCTTTCGCATTTATAATATTAGTAGGATTGATTCACATATAACAGTTTCTTTTCCAATCAATAAGAACAATATCCTATTTTTGTTTTCCATAGAGTTTACATGTTAACACATATAAGTTGTATTGTGTATGAAATAACGTGGCAAAATGGCGCTGACTTGTAAGATTATTTATATTTTGGTTTTAATAAACGTTGTGTATGTTGCAGGTTGATGCTGAAATAAAGAAAATTCTATCAGAGAGCTACGAGAGAGCTAAGGCTATACTGAGGACACACGCTAAAGAACATAAGGCTCTGTCGGAGGCTTTGTTGAAGTCAGTATATATTATTATTCATATATTTTAGTTTTGTTAATGTAAAGTTTCATAAAACCTGTTGGGTGTTTGCTGTATAACAAATATAAAGAAAGTTTTTAACATGATTTAAAGACCTAATGCCCATAAAACATTCTTTTTAAATTGTCTCTTAAACCTCATTGAATATAATTAACCTGAATATACTTTTGCACTATCAACTATATAAAAATAATAATAGCAAAATACCGTATATAGATTTTTAATAGTAAATAAACAATATTTTGTGGTAAATCTAAAATGATCTATTTAATGGCTTGTCTTAAATCATAAAACAAAAGTATGTACCTTTTTTGGAGGTTACGTATTCAAATTTAACTAATATCAATTAACCTATCACTATATTAAATTATAAATATATACATATATATGTATGTGTGTAGTCAGTGGTGGCCTAATGGTTAGGGCGCCTGGCTCTCGTTGCCGAGGGCGTTCGATCCTGGCCCGGGCAAGTACCAATGTGATTTTTCCGAGTCATATGTACTTTCTAAGAGTATTTAAACATCACTGATTAATGCATTCCCAAAGAGGGTTGATGTCAGGCAGGCGGCCGGTCGTAAAAACAAATAGCCAAAACTATTCACAACATGTAAGGCAGACCCTGGCTATAGCCGGGAAATTGCCAGCAAGAAGAAGAATACATATGTATGTATGTATATAAATGTTTATATAATACTTATCTACCTCCAGATACGAGACCCTCGACGCTGACGACATCAAAGCGATCATGTCCGGAGACAAGGTGAAGATGGACCGAGGGAGGAGCAGCAACACTAATAAAGAACCCTCGCCCGCCACGCTACTGCCGCACACCATGCCCGCCTAGATCAGGTGATGTATATAACACGCACACACACAGTTGATTGAGCAAGTTTTATGAAGAGCGCCATCTAGCGACAACTTTTAACATCGAAAATTAATACTGAAATATTTTTGATCCATGTCCTAGGATTTAGTATTTTTGATTGTGACATCACTATGACGTTCACAGGATGTTTATTTATTGACGAATAGTTAATCAATGTATTGTGTATTGAATTTAATTAATTGTGAATTGATTGATATTTTTATTTGATTTTGCATGATATTCCCACACACATGCCCTTAAAAAATATACAGGGTGACTGGTGAATTACTATCAATATTTAAGGAGAATACTCGGTACATGATTCTCATTCGAATTATGTAAAAAAAATAGGCACTTAATTTTTGACAAAATTTCCGTATAAATAAATAAAGTGTTGGCACGTTCCAAGTGTGGACGCGTGCGGCGGCGTGCTGATACAACACCACGCCGCGCACGCGTGTGTGTATATACCTAATCTGTAGGGTGTTCACACGATGCGTAATTAATTACATAACTTTTGGTTAACTTTACTTAGAAGTTTATTAATATTTATGGTATATTAATTTTTATTTTGTCATATATGATCGTCAAATATCACGTCCTCAAGTATCGATAGTAATTCACCAGTCACCCTGTATATATTTGGCAACACCAGAATATTACAAAAACAAAAGCTTACTTCTTAACTTAAATTATTGTTTGAGTGATAAATATGTTTTTAAAAATCTAAATTTAATATCCAACAGGAACCAAACAGACGGGACTGCCTGAAGCTCGTCACACGACTACAGTTAACACAGGAAGTGACTTTGAAAATTTTGCAGGTTACGGCATTGTTATGATACATTGAATAAAATAAAAATAAGTATAACGTTAAATGACAATCTTTCCTTTATGAATGACACCTGTTGGACTCGCGGGGAACTTCTCACAGACTTATATTATAATAGATCATTTAGAATACCTAGAACGTGGAAAATTATAGCTTGTAGATATATTATTTATTCATAGTGCCTCTTCCTTATATGTCCATACGTGAGGTAGATTACCAATACATAATGTAAATGTGAACGAACAATGATTCGCATGGAAGAAAAGAAATAAAGATTGTAACAAAAAAATATTATTTAACGTTTGAAACTCAAATGTAAATGGATATCAGTGACGATTTTTATTTTTAACAACAAAATTGACGAATTACATTGTGATTGTAATATATATATATATAACTGTAGTTTAAGTTTGGAGTTAAACTTCGTTTAACATCAAGCATTCTTATTGTCTGTTGCTAAATAAACGTTAAACATCTCTGCTAGTTTTATTTACATTATATGTAAGGTCATAGAATCTAACTCCATTGATGAATACAAATAGGTTTTTGTGAACCATTCATTTAATAAATGCCGTTTTTGAAACATTTGTTTTCTTTAAATGCCGATTCAGAAATTTTCATGAGATAAAATAAGGATATTTAAGTCACCTGATAATATAAGAGCTTTTGTTGAATTTAGAATTATGAATTTAATTTAATAGATGTATTGTTTTTTATACGAATAAAATGAACTTACTCGTTTCTGTTTAATATTAATAAAAAAAATATATTGTCATGCAAAATATAAACATTTAAACTTTTTTGACAGCATCGCGATCCTTTTAATAATTATTTGTAAAGTAAAAAAAATCGTGAAATAACATCATCAGTCATTAATGTCATCAAATTATTTGTTTTACATTTATATAAAATGAACATTCAATTAGAAAATTTTGTGATGAAACTTATGTTTTATATTCAGCCATGTAGCTCAAAAGAAACGACGTATGGTTTATATAAATTGATCTGCTGACCCGGCACACCTCGTACTGCCTCAATCGATATATAAATATTTTTTTATTTATATTTTTGGAGTTTACCTTTAAGCCATAAATCTCCATGTTGTGAAGTGCGACAGAATGATTGACATATAAGTTGGCAAATCTAATGTCAAAAAAAACGTTTGTATGGGAAATAGAAAAGCGCTGTTTTTAGGGTTTTCCCGGAAATGAATCATTTTTTTTCAACTTTTAAACCTTCCCTGAACCTCCACGAACATTTCAAGACTAAGATAAGATAAATCCGTTCAGCCGTTCTCGAGTTTTAGTGAGATTAACGAACAGCAATTCATTTATGTATATTATATAGATTATACACACAGTATGTATGTGTGTGAGTGAGACAGGTATCTCTCTCTGTCTTTCACATGTCTTTCAATAAAAGGCCGGCGTAATGTATGTATATATAGTATATTATATTGGGGCCGGTGTGTGTGTGTGCGCGTCGGCCGCGAGGTGTGCTGACGTCACGAGCCGCAGCCTGGGGTCGCTGGTGGCGAGGAACACGTGCTGGAGACACACGCGGGGCCTGGACCAGCTGGAACATGATCAAAATATATATACTAGCTGCGCCACGCGGTGTTACCCACGGATTTCCGGGATGTAAAGTATCCTATGTGTTATTCCTGGACGTCAGCTTGCTGTATACAAAATTTTATCAAAATCGGTTCAGCCGTTTGAGCGTGAAGAAGTAACAAACATACACACACACTCACAAACTTTCACAACTATAATATTAGTAGGATATATACTACCTTGGATTTTATTAAAGTTATAATCTGGCTAGTTGATATGTCTGAGTATGATTAGTAAACATATTTCTTGCCGGGGATCGAGTCACTTTATTTGGACTTTTTTTTTTTTTTTTTTTTTTTTTTTATTTAAACCAAAGGGGCAAGCGAGCAGACGGCCTGCCTGATGGTAAGCAGTCACCGTCGCCCATGGACATCTGCAACACAAGGGGTGTTGTTGATGCGTTGCCGGCCTTGTTTGTGAAGGAGCCACCTGAACACGTGATGTTTAAAAGACCCCATGTTGTAGCTCTCTGGAAAAGCCTCGGGCGGAAGATCATTCCACATCCTGCACGTGCGTGAAAAGAATGAACGCGACGCACGTACAGTCCTGCAACTGAATGCATCTAGATGATGTGGGTGAAATCCAACCCTACGCCGAGTAGTGCGATGGTGGAATGTGGACGATGGCACTACATCAAACAGTTCCTCGGAACATTCCCCATTGTACAGACGATAGAACACACTAAGGGAGCTTACATCCCTTCTGAGACTTAGGGGTTCTAGATCGTCTGTGAGCATGGGATCGTTGACAATACGAACTGCCCGACGTTGAATGGAGTCAAATGGAAGAAGTTGGTACTGTGGGGCACCGGACCAGAGGTGAGAACAATACTCCATGTGGGGACGAACCTGTGCTTTATATAACAAAAGCAAGTGTCCCGGTGTGAAGTACTGCCTCGCTCTACTCAGTACCCCTAATTTTTTTGATGCTAGTTTAGCCTTGCTTCACTAACTAAGAGGATGACCATGAAATAAAATCAACTTATCTTTATATAACATAAATTCGACATACAGATATTTTTATGAACTTGCTAGAGTCATATAGTAAAACTTTTTGGGTGATTCTCTAGATAATGTTGTATAAACAGACATATTAGTTGATCTATTTATATATATATATTAATACTAACCCAACCCACACTCGTCCCTCTCCCAATTCTGAGGTAAGTTGCCTGGCGAGAGACGACCGGATCAACTCTTCAGCGAAACACTTGGTGGCAGATAACAACACTGAGTGGACCGAACTAAAACAATACATACATATATTATATTGTAGTACATATAGAGTATAATTAATTTCATAAAACTTTCAAATATTAATAATAAATATACATGTTTAAATTAATTAATTACACTATCATTATCAATTTATATATAACAAAACAACATGATACTATTTAAACCAATTGTAAAAAATATTAATTTGAATATTCATAATACACACATATATATGTATATTCTATGTAAGAACAGAGTAATCGAGGTCAGTTGCTTTGTTTACAAGATTGTAAATTTCTATTGAAGTGAACTATATACATATATATATAAAAATCTCTCCTCACCTGTATGAGTACCCATGCCCAATATCTTCATTCCTCAACACGATGCCGATGTCTTCACACACTTTCTCTATGAACAGGAACCTCAGTCGGTCACTACTGTCCACGGGCAACACTTCCTCACTCACAGTTCCTTCAACCAACACAGGTTTCTTCTTAACACTCACATCATTAACTATTTCTATTTCTTCGTCCGAGCCACTCACATCTAAATCTACAACTGAATCCTCGGTAACATAATCACTTTTATTGAACACACTCAATGTTGACAGGTGACTTTCATTTGGGAATGTATCTCTAATGTTTGATTCTGTTTTTCCTTCATTGATATCGTTCCACGATGACCATTCATCTGTTTTGAGGTCGGCCTTCTCCTGTCTTATTGGATAGTATCCGTGTAATCTTGAGTATATTAGGATCTGTTTCGTTCTCCATACTTTACTGGGATCGGATTCAAATGTCTCTGTGAGTAGTTTGTTGATCAATTTTGCTCGTGACCACTGGAAATGTATATATATAAGATTAATATCTTAAAATAATATATAATTTAACATATACATATAGAGTATATAGTAGATGTATGTATGAATGGAATTTCTGGTTTATTAATAACTGTGTGCTATATACTTTAAGTTATCTTACTTTAAAAATATACCGTTTCACATAAATATACAGGGTGACTGGTGAATTACTATCGATATTTGAGGACGTCATATTTGACGATCATATATGACAAAATAAAAATTAATATAACATAAATATTAATAAACTTCTAAGTAAAGTTAACCAAAAGTTATGTAATTAACTACGCATCGGGTGAACACCCTACAGATTAGGTATACACACACACTCACACATACGCGTGTTGCGGCGTAGTGTTGTATCAGCACTCCGCAGCACGCGTCCACACTAGGAACACTTGGAACGTGTCAACACTTTATTTATTTATACGGAAATTTTGTCAAAAATTAAGTGCCTATTTTTTGTACATAATTCGAATGAGAATCATGTACCGAGTATTCTCCTTAAATATTGATAGTAATTCACCAGTCACCCTGTATATTTTTTTATTCATCTTAGAAAACATTGCTGATGTTTCAAATATTCATCAAAACTGGTCATTGATTTGTTGTAATTGGAAATAGTTGCATAACTATTTTACTGAATCTTAATCTTTTTTATATAATATAAGAATAAAATGATTTTTTTTTTTGTTACTAATTACGCAATATTTTACAAGACTTTTTTAACAAAGCCTTATGTCTATATTCTGTTGTTGGAAAGATCGTAACAATCCTGTACAATTTACAGACAATGCAACATAATTCTTGTATTATAAATTCAAAAGTTTGTAATGATAGGACGTTTATAACTCTTTGACGTAAAAACTACTGTAATGATTCTGATGAAACCTCACAGTAATATAGCTTACTTATACTAATTTAAGCTGGAATTAAGTGTAGTTGCTGTTAGATTAACGCATAACATTTTAATATATATGAAGTCACGTAAGACACAATAGATGTCGCTACCAGTTACTTAAATGTTAATAAACATTTTTCTGTAAACGCAACTCTAATGTTGACGCGTACAAAGTCGCGAGTGGAAATTTGTATATAAAATATATATGTATATAATATGCTCACCTCCATATTCCTACGTTTAGCGAAGTCCAACTTCCAATATTTGTCATCAGTTTTAACAACAAACGGGAACATCGCCACATAATCAACATCTCCGGCCGCCTCACTCACCAACGGTTTACGTATGAAAAAAATATTTTTTTTTAGTATGGAGAATTTGTAAGCTTTGATTTGTACTGAAAACATATATTACAAATAAAAAACATATATTACAATTACATAACTTTTGGTTAACTTTACTTAGAAGTTTATTAATATTTATGTTATATTAATTTTTATTTTGTCATATATGATCGTCAAATATCACGTCCTCAAGTATCGATAGTAATTCACCAGTCACCCTGTATAGTTTTATATGACAAGCTTTGTAATATTATATATATGTCTTAATTATTACTATATTTAGAGAAATATAACAACAATTATATACCAAGTCTTTAAATCCCAGTATTTTGCTTTATATATATATACTAGAAGTTTTTTATTCATATTTTTGGAGTTTACCCTTTTAAAGCCATAAATCTCCGTGTTTTGAAGTGCGACAGCTTGATTGACATATTAGTTAATTGTCAAATCTAATGTCAAAAAAAAAAGTTTGTATCAACAACTACTAATAAATTAAAAATTACTTTAAAAAACATTGTCCAGTGGACAAAATTGTGAATCTAAACCATTCCCAGATCCCCTTGAACACACACAAAAAATTTCATCAAAATCGGTCCAGTCGTTTGAGAGAAGTTCAGTGATATACACACTCACAGAAGAATTATAATATAAAGATATATAAATATAATAAGTTTTAATAGATAAAAGCTTAAAAGAAAAAATATGATTGTCTCTATGGATGTATTTCATAGTTAACATATATGCAGAGTATAATCAGTATATATATAAACATACGCAGGATCCAGTTGGGTAACCAGGTGGAGGTGGACCCTGAAGACATAACGGTCACCTTCGATGATGTCAAAGGAGCTGACGAGGCCAAGCAGGAACTCAAGGATGTGGTGAGTATAATGTGGATGATTATATTACAGGGGTAACGGTAGGCTCTCAAATATATATGTTTCTTAGGACAATCATTTAGTATTTACATGGATTAAGGAAAAACAAGTTGTTAAGCAAATACTGGTGACTCATTTAAACCTGGTTTTGGTTATAGATTATCACTAAATAAAATCATTTCAACTTTATCACAGGTAGCCAAACAAATTTTATTTTACCAGATTTTTTTTTTACCTGTGACTCTATGTGAATGTATTTCTGTATCAAGGACATTTATTTCTAACAAGTATCTTTTAGTAACATTTTAATAAGCTTTTCTTGCAGCTTTTGCATGTCAAGGCAAATTCCTAATCATCAAAAGTATTTTTTAATTTCATTTCTTCAGAAATATTTTATCAAAATTTCATTATCATATTATGTATTGTACACCAAAAATATGAAAAAAAAATTGGTCTAAATAAGAGATTCAAGTAGCTATCTTTACCAAAAAAAAAATTACTATTAAGGGCAGGGTTTCCCAATTTTATTTAATCTACTTTAAGAATCACTTATTTGTTAGTGCCCTCATTGTTTCTCCTGCTGAAAAACCACTTTAACTTATTCTAACTAATTAAAGTTACAAATCTTCCCAGACACAACACCCAAATTTTCTTTCTGTATCTCTCACACTTCTTAATACCTGCAACTTCCACAAGGGGATACTATCATTACTACACATATACACTTTGGGAAACTCTGTATTTAATGTAATAGCTTACCATACTTTCTTCTAGGTGGAATTCCTGAAATCTCCTGAGAAGTTTTCATCATTGGGCGGCAAGTTGCCCAAAGGTGTTTTATTAGTGGGTCCGCCGGGTACAGGCAAGACGTTGTTAGCTCGAGCTGTGGCTGGTGAGGCGAGGGTGCCGTTCTTTCATGCAGCAGGACCAGAATTCGATGAAATCCTCGTTGGACAAGGAGCTAGGCGTGTCAGGGATCTATTTAGTGAGGATAATATATATAGGATTGCTATTAATTTAATGGGAATATATGGATATTCTTCTTCTTCTTCTATTAAATATTTAATTATTTAAGAAGAAGATATGGCATATAAGTATATGATGATAAAATTAAAATTAACTAGTTTTTTCCCGTGATTTCGTCAGTGTTAATTTCGGAACTAGTAATATATTATGTATAGCTGACCGGGGGAACAGTATTCCGCCCTACAGGCCATAAATTATAATTAACTTTTTTTGATTGAACTAAATATCCAATGTTTATGTCCTAGTTATAATCTACTAGCTTTCCGCCCGAAGCTTCGACCCCGTGAAGTTCGGTTATATCACGTTTCCAAGAGAACCTTTCAAAAGTCTGGGATAAAAACTATTCTATGTTCTTTCTCAAGGTCAACTCTATATCTGTCCCAAATTTCATTAAAATCAGTTCAGTGGTTTAGGTGTGAAAGCGTAACAGACAGACAGACAGACAGTTACTTTCGCATTTATAATATTAGTAGGGATAAAGGATTGATTTTTGATTAAAGAGAAATATAAGTCTATTAACTTATATGATTATAAAATTAAAATTAACTATTTTTTTGTCCGCGATTTCGTCCGCATTAATTTCGGAACTAGTAATATATGTATAGCTGACCGGGTGAAATTTATTCTGTTGTAGAGGCCGTAAATTATACTTTTTTTGATCGAACAGAACTAAATATCCAATACTCGTCTTGTAGTTATAAGCTATCTCTCGCCAATTTTCATACGTATCCCTACAGCCGTTCTTAAGTTATAAATAGTGTAACTAATATGACTTTCTTTTTATATATATAATAAATAGATTGATCATTATATTACCGTCCATATATAATAAAGTATGACATAAAATTTACAAGTCAAAAAAAAATTCTAATCAATTGATACTAAATTCAAATAAAACAAAAATATATACCTTTATTACTAAAAGCAATATTAATATAAATATTATAATGTCTATATACAATATTTTTCAGAGGCGGCCAAGGAGAGAGCACCCTGTGTTATATTCATTGATGAGATAGACTCAGTGGGCGCCAAACGTACCAACAGTGTGTTACATCCGTACGCCAACCAGGTATTATAAATATATCTATACTGATATTATAAAGCTGAAGAGTTTGTTTGTTTGTTTGAAAGCTCTAATCTCCGAAACTACTGGTTCGAATTGAATAATTCTTTTTGTGTTGGATAGTCCAGTTATCGAGGACGGCTGTGGGCTATATAACATCACGCCACGACCAATAGGAGCAAAGATATAGTGGTAACTGTGAAAAAACGGGAGAAATTATTTCATCTTTGAAGCCTTCCTTCTTGAATCTTTGAAGTTTAAGATACACAAAAAATATGAGTTAAAGAATAATTGCTCTTTTAATGATCTAAAAAACAGTCCGCGACAGTATATGTCTATCTTTTAAGATTAACTTACAAAAACCGTTTTTATGGTACCTAATTTGGGTGAAATAATTTGTTTAAGTTGTATCAACATAATAATATTAATCTTTATTCAAATAAACAAATAAATATGTTGTTGGTTAAGAGTACTTCATTGTGAATAAAAAAAAACATAGGTTTTATCCTGAAAATTTTACGGGAACTCGACCATTCCGAAAACCCCGCAAGAACGGGAACTATGTGGGAAGAACCAAAATTCTGCCGGAAGTCACTATTCCACGCGGACGAAGTCGCGTCAAAAGCTAGTAGTAAATAAGAATAAATATTAAAGAGGTTTTTGACTAACAAACATATACATGATATTAGAAGTCAGTGGTGACCTAGTGGTTAAACGTCCTGCCTCTCATGCTCGAGAGTGCGGGTTCGATCCTGGCAAGTAGCAATGTAATTTTTCCGAGTCATATGTACTTTCTAAGAGTATTTAGACATCACTGATTAATGCATTCCCAAAGAGGGTTGATGTCAGGCAGGCGGCCGGTCGTAAAAACTGGAAATTGCCAGGTAGAAGAAGACATGATATTAGAATAACTATTAAGAAATTATTGGAGATTTTTTTAATGTTTGTTAATAGTTATTTACTTGCTTATTACTTCTCCATTTAATTTATTGTCTAATTACTAGATTAACAAAACTATAATGCTGAAACTACTTTTCTTTATTAATAGAATAATCGTTTTATATATTGGATTTTCTTAAAAAACTTGTAAAAAACACGTGTTTTATGTCTTTAGTTTATAATTGCCACTTGATTTAATTTGTTTTTTTTTCAATACCCGGAAGAGTTTGAGGTTTTAACTTTTAGAATATTAGGAATGGAGAGATTTATATTTCAAACAGTTATCTTAAAATTATTGATACTTTATATGTAATTAATATTTTCCTATGATCAATATTTACTTGAAATAATTACAAATATTTTTGTACATACATATATACAGGGTGTATGAAAAACTGTGTCAACCCTCTTAACTACGTTATCAGTATCGATAATGTAACACAATAAAACAACTTACATTTACAAACTCTTCAATAAAAATAATAAAATTAAATATTAAATGATTATTATATGTAGAGTAACAAAATGTTTGTAAACCTTGAGGTGGTAGAGCCTGGCTGTAGTCAATTTACTACAGCTCGAACATGTGCTGGCTCGACCGGGGAAGTACCACCCTCTCACAGAAAATCGGCGTAAAGTAGTCTTTAAAGGCTGCGTTTCGTCCGGTGAGTGAGAGAGCCGGTTGCCCTTTCCCTTTTCCCAACCTTTCCTTTCCCTCCCTTTCCCACCTTTTCCTCCTCCTTTTCCCCAATCAAGGGCGGCAACACATCCGCAAATCTACGTTGCGGATGTCCATGGGCGACGGTACCTACCTACCATCAAGTAGGCCGTCTGCTCAGTTGCCCCCTTTTCCCATAAAAAAAAAAAATGTATTACTAGCTGTGCCCCGCGGTGTTAACCGCGCATTTCCGGAATTTCCGAGATATCCGGGATGTAAAGTAGCCTATGTGTTATTCCCATACGTCAGCTTCCTGTATACCAAATTTAATCAAAATCGGTTCAGCCGTTTGAGCGTGAAGAAGTAACAAACATACACACACGCTCACAAACTTTCGCAATTATAATATTAGTAGGATAATGTATCCAATAACATTTTTCCCACACAACTAATATAATATACATATATTTCAGACAATAAACCAGCTATTATCAGAAATGGATGGATTTCATCAGAACGAGGGTGTGATAGTACTAGGAGCTACCAACAGGAGAGACGACCTGGACCAGGCGCTGCTGAGACCCGGGAGATTTGATGTGGAGGTATGATGTGAACATGGCTGTATAATATAACAATATAACATATACTACAAGGAAATACATACTGTATAAAGATATTTTCACAGCTTTATAAAAGTTATTTAAATTGGAATATCCAGTGGAGATTCAAACATTATTATTATTATCATTTGAAAACCACAAACAAGGCAAACAATAAAACTTATTTGTGTGTACACAACCTGCTAACTTATTAAAACTATCATAATACTTTTTATAAAAACGAACAACATTACCTTTCTTTTAGTTCAATCTCAACTGATCACACGGCACACGCCTTGACTTTATACTTATTTTAGTTTTATTATCAAACGACAATATTGAAAATTTACTCATATTTAATTTAGATAAACACACATCACAAGCACAGAGCTCACATTTATAATTTTACATAATTCGTTAATAAATCAATCCTCTGTTTACTAATTAAAACTTATTCACTTGCGCTTAAAAAAACAAATGACAATATACAATAATAATAAAATAGTGAAAAAAATATATGGACGGTTTACCGACCAATCAGAGTGTCCCGTTGTATTTGACAATTAACGGACTTTATAAGTATTTGACAATATAGGCTTAGTTGTTATATGGGTATGGTATGCAGTGCTTATTTGTATACAGGCGGTCCTCGACTTACGTCGTTTCGATTTACGTCGTTTCAAGTTACGTCGAACAATGTTTTGACACTATTCCTCAAGCATACGTCATTTGTTTCGATTTCCGGCATATCGGAGAATTCACTTGTCGCAAGGTCAATGTCCGTGAGGGGCGCTAACCGTTTGCCTGACATTGCAGTTACTACTGATGATATTGATGATCTGTTAAGCTCACATTCGCAAGAACTGACTGATGAAGATCTTATTGAATTGGAGGCACAAGTACAAAAGGTAGCTCTCGAGTCACAAGAAATAGCTTCTTCTATTAGTGACTCTGAAAAAGAACTTACACTAAAAAAACTTTCCGTAGCCTTTGCAAATTTGAAGAATGCCATGAAAATTTTTGAAGAAAATGATCCTAATTTTGAGAGAAATTTTAACGTTAATAACAAAATTTGTGCAGCCTATCACTGTTACCAAGATCTGTATGATAGCAAGAAGAAAGAAGCCAAGCAATCTAGAATTGATAGTTTCTTTAAGCCAAAAGTTTAATTTATTATTTATCATTACATATGTATAAGTTTTATAGTTATTATTAAAATTAATAACACACAAATACCAAAAATAACTAGCAATTTCATAAGTGCATAATATATAATTATTTTAAGAACTTACTTTTAATAATAAAGTACGTCCTTTGTTATAAATGCAGTTTTTTTTATTATTTCGAGTCCGTGTGGAACCTAACCCTTGAGTTTTACATGTAATCATATGAAAAAATATGTCTCGACTTACGTCGTTTCGATTTACGTCGCGTATTTCAAGAACCTAACATGCCGTAAGTACGAGGACTGCCTGTATATATATGTGTGTTATTTTCCAGGTGTCAGTTCCAACTCCAGACTACGGCGGTCGTCTGGAGATTCTCCGGATGTACGTGTCTCGTGTGGCGGCCGCGCCCGGCCTCGACGTAGAGGCTCTAGCGCGAGGAACTACAGGCTTCACGGGCGCTGACCTAGAGAGTATGGTCAACCAAGCCGCGCTAAAGTGAGTGAGATAGATAGATAGATAGATATTAGATAGGAGAGAGAGAGATGGATATATAGTCTAAGTGTCTCTGTGAAGCAATAGAAACCCTAGCAATGTATGTTTGATTAGTTGTACACGTGACTTGGTCTAAGACCTAAGTGATATGTTTAAGAAAATCCATTAGTTTTGCTCACCCCATATCCAGCCATTTTAGAATTTATATGTACATATTACATATAAGTTAAAATTGTCCAAATAAAAATTTACTCTGATATACATATATACTATTTATTCCAAATGCATTAACCCTAGAGTGGGCGCGTCTCTTTGCGTAACGTCAGTAGGCGCGTGGGGAGCATTTTGCCGCCTCATTTTCTTTGACTATTTTGACTACTAATATTGCAATTTAATATTTTTTCTTTTAGGATTTAAATAAATAAACAGTAAGTTATAATAAATCAACATATTTATTCAACTTTGTTCTATAAACTTTGGTTTACAAAGGACTTTAGAAAACTTAATATTTTAAATGACTTTTTTTCTCTTAAGCTTCATAATACTTTTTAATACTTAAAAAATAAAACAAAAATAACAAAATTATATATTTTCTTAATCTACAGGATACGCTTTATCAAAACAGTCTTCACAAAGACATGTACAATGTTCATAGCACAGTAACTTTTGGCATCTGGAACACCCTTTTTTCGTGGGCCTGTTTTTCTTTGAGGGACATATATTGCATTTGCCCTCCTTTTTCTAAGAAGATGCTTGTTCTACTGGGACAAAGCGAGCAATTTGATTCCTCAAAGAAATATTTAAAGTGCCTATAGAAGTCCTTGTGGTCATATATTGCTTGACAAGTACCATGGCAATTTGTTTCAAATATTCTCGACGTAGCATCAAATGTTGAGTATTGGCTTTGTATACAATTTGACTGTTTATACCGGCACTATTCAACATTAAAAAAATAATCTCATTAGCCATCTGCGAGTCATCCTCCCAACAGAATATTTTTCCTTCATTTAGTCAACCATGTCAACACCACCTTTAGTACTATTATAAAATGTTATCATTTCAGGTTTTGCACATGTCATCATTTCAGGTCAAAGTTGATAATAGCAATACTATTTTCTTTTGCTTTTTATTTGGAACATAAGATAGTAACACTTTCCTGTCGCCAAATCCAAACATTGAAGATGGTTTCGCTCGATCTTTGGTGTACAAGATTTGGTATCCCACCAAATCTTTTGATCTTCTATTTTATCCATTTTTATTTATTATTATCAATCAATTCTTTGAAATCCTAAAACAAATATATTTTTAGTTGCAAAAGTTATTAATGCACCATAAAATATAGTCAACATTTCGAGTTTGAAAAAATTACATTATACAATATTACTTACGTGAGTGGGCGCGCGGTGAGCGATTTGCCGCCCGGCGACACCTGATAGTAGATAACTTCTTCTCCTGCGGTCCCCCGTGCACTGACGGTGTCCAGATTTAAGGCAAACTTTGCTAATGAGATTGGGAGCAGCTACTAAGAAGCACAAGTCTAAAGGCTAGTTGTTTTAATTATTATTAACGGTTTTTTAGCGCGGGCGGCAAAATGCTCATAGCGCGCCCACTCTAGGGTTAAGAAAATAATGACTATAATTATATGTCATCATCATCATCATCATCAGTCCATCGAAGCACTTTGCTGAGCAAAGGCTTTTTCTCCCATGTAGAAGGTTAGATCACTAATCATCATCAAGTCCAGGTTTCCTCACGATATTTTCCTTCACCCTATGTCAGTGGTGTCCAATTGGTACTTGCCAGATTTCGAACTCGCGCCCGCATGTATGAGTGGCGGGCCTTTACCACTAGGCCACCGCGACTTCATATTAATTATATGTGTTGTTTCTTAACTTTGTCCGGTGTTATTCCCAGGGCAGCTATCATTCTGATATATGCCCTATGTATTAAGTACATAAAGTATATATTTCCAGGGCAGCCATCGAGGGCGCTAAGACGGTGAGCATGTATCACCTAGAGGAGGCTCGTGACAAGGTGCTGATGGGCCCGGCGAGGAGGGCGCGCCTGCCTGATGATGAAGCGAACGCTATCACCGCCTGCCACGAGGGGGGGCATGCGGTCGTTGCGTACTACACTAAGGTAAACTATAATAATAATAATAAGAGTAATTAGAATCTGGAAATTAAATAAGGTCTATATTGTCCCAATCGTGCTTTCCATTACTGGAGTCATACCTACACACTTACACCAAAGTTTAAAAACTCTGGATTTAACACCACTCGCATACATCACATTGCAAAAAGCTGCACTTCTGAATACCTGCCGAATAGTACGTAAGTTTTTGGAATCCGATAATGTTGTTGACTGACTGACTTTTTTTCACATCCCAAAAACACTTGGTCACTGACCCGTGTGATGGGAATATCTGCCCCTATTGTTAGGGAGATATATAGGAATAATAATAATAATAAAACAACACATGCAGAATAGTAAGAAAGTTCATGCAATTAGAAGAGAATGACACGACAACATAAATACTACACATAAATATTATTTACATAAATAATACACACCACATACTGCATTCACTTGATTTATATACGTGTATGTATTTTACACCAGCTTACGGGCTGAGAAAAAGAAAATTCCCAAAAATAATAATAATAATAATGTTTATTTCGAACATACAGTTCATAGGGTACAAAAAATTATAGAAAATAAAAGAACAAAGGATAGGTAAAAAAACATAACACAAAATAAAGACACAGCATCATCGCACATGGACACTTCAGAATGTCATAATACATAGAATAAGTTTTTATTCATTTAAATTTAACTAATATGTTACGTTTCTGTATATTTATATGTCATAATATGCACAACCCTCTATAGAAAATTTGTTGTCGTCGCGTACTACACTAAGGTACGATACATAACATTGGCGAGTATATGCAAATGCATAACATCATTTAAGATAACTATTTCACATTGCAAGCTACTATGCAAAATTTTATAAGTAGATCCTAGGTAAGTCATGTAATTATAGTTGGAACATGTGCTGTCTCGACCGGTGAAGTACCACCGTCTCACAGAAGATCGGCGTGAAGTAGTCTTTAGTGGCTGCGTTTCTTCTGATGAGTGAGAGAGACGGTTGTGCTTTCTCTATTTCCACGTTTCACATAAATAAAATGATGCGTTTAGATGTCCGAGATGCATTTGCTCAGTCGCCACATAATAATACAATTATATCTATATATTAAAAATAATATTAAATTCATTCACTAATTGATCGTTTTTATATTGCTTTTACTTTGTAATATATTTAGTGCGTATATTTAATTATAGAATACATATGCATATTTCTTTAATTTCATCATACTATTATATATATTGTATCTATTTTCCAGGATTCTCACCCTCTCCACAAGGTCACTATAATCCCACGCGGACCTTCCCTGGGACACACAGCCTACATACCCGCCAAAGAAAGGTTACATCTTTATATATATAATTCTTCTGTGAGTGTGTATGTCACTGAACTTCTCTCAAACGACTGGACCGATTTTGATGAATTTTTTTGTGTGTGTTCAAGGGGATCTGGGAATGGTTTAGACTCACAATGATGTCCGCTGGAAAAAGTTTTTTTTAATTATTTTTTAATTTATTAGTAGTTGTTGACACAAACATTTTTTTTACATTAGATTTGACAACTAACTAATATGTCAATTATTCTGTCGCACTTCAAAACACGGAGATTTATGACTTTAATAGGTAAACTCCAAAAATATGTATAAATAAAAAAACGTAACAGATATTTCTTGATTATAGGGCGATACGAAGTTCGCCGGGTCTTCTAGTATTATATAATATGTTATATATAACTCTTATTTACTGTAATATTAAGTTACAAATTCCTAGGACAAGTCATATTTTATTCCTACATACTATGATAATTAATTAATTAATATTTATGAAACATTTTATCTTCTTTTAAACATTAATTGTTTTGCATATAATATAATATTTGTTAATATCTTATTCTGTGTGAATTTTGAATGTTATGTAAATTGGTTAATAATTTTTTTTTTTCAGTATGTAACCTATAAACTTATATTTTCTAGTGTCCTATTTAAATACATAGTTTTTTGTAATTTTCATTTATAAAGTAAAAAATATAAACAAACTTATAGATTTATATTAAGTATATCAAATATAAGTAAATATAATTTATCAAACATCAGTCTGTCTATACATATAGTTTAAAATCTATCAACAGTAATAAAGGAATTAATGAGCACTTCTTATTCTAATATTAATCTAGTATTATTATTATGTTAATAACAATATGAAGTAACTAAACTGTTAATGTATGCAGATACCACGTGACCAAACAACAACTCCTGGCTATGATGGACACCATGATGGGAGGGCGGGCGGCCGAGGAGCTCGTCTACGGGCCGGATAAGATTACATCGGGTATACACACACACACACACACACACACACACACACGGACACACATATCTAGCCATAGTTCAGCTTATGCTAGTCACTTTCATATATTTACGTTGAAAAGAATGATTTACTGATACCCTCAACCAAGTAAGATGACCTGTGTGGTTATGATGCTACCAATTTATACACTGAAATAATCATCAGTAACTCTCATCGTCATAGTAACTAGTATTATCCATTTGCGAGATGCACCGCGCTAATTTATTGTCCTATATAGTCGTCCCATGAAATGAGGAGTTAATAATAAATTAACGTGTAGCACAATCCAAAATATTTCTTTTATTTCAATGAATACTCTTAAAAGTATCTAATATCTAAGATTTTCGCGAGTCTTATTCATTTAAATGAAACTAATATTTACGAGCAGACGAGATCTGATTTGCCCGTGATCACGGTTGCTTAAAAGTAGCCTAAACGTCGGGAGTATTTGTTTTTCACTATAAAGTCGCGTAGTACAGTACATCCGAAAAATATTATTTTTATTTAAATTTATACTCGCTATATGTTATTAATATATTCAGGTGCATCGTCGGATTTGAAGCAAGCTACATCCATAGCATGTCACATGGTCCGCGAGTGGGGCATGAGTGAGAAGGTTGGTCTGAGGAGTGTGGACACTGGCAAGACGCTACAGCAAGAACAGTTGGGGCCCTACACCAACGAACTGGTCAGATATTATATATTATACTAGCTGCTAACCGCTGTATTACCCGGATTTCCGGGATGTAAAGTAGCCTATATGTTATTCCTGGACGTCAGCTTCCTGTATACAAAATTTTGTCGAAATCGGTTCAGCCGTTTGAGCGTGCAGAAGTAACAAATATACATACACACTCACAAACTTGAGCAATTATAAAATTATATACTAGGGGCCATACATAGAGTAATACACGTTAATTGAAGGGAAGGTGTCACCAAAGTATGACAAGAGACATGAGGGTTAATAGCTAGTTTAATGACATCACATTAAAATTTGAAATTCTTTGATTATTATTCAATAAAAATTAGTAAAAAATTAAAATATCTGTGAAAACACATTTATTCTTTTGATTCTTCTGCAAATTTTCTAAAACAATCATTTGATACTTCTAAAACAGTTTCTTTTACCATAAAGAAGTACATTTATATCCTACCTCTATATTCCATAGAGTTTACATGTGAACACATATTAGTTGTATTATGTATGGTAAAGTGGCAAAGTCAATAGATGTTGCTGAATTGTAAAATTATTTATATTTTGGTTATAACAAATATTGTGTATGTTACAGGTTGATGCTGAAATAAAGAAAATTCTATCAGAGAGTTACGAGAGAGCTAAGGCTATACTGAGGACACACGCTAAAGAACATAAGGCTCTGTCGGAGGCTTTGTTGAAGTCAGTATATGTATATTTAAACATATATCTAAAATTATAGTTGCTCCTTTGCAATTTTTTATGATTCATATATGTTATGTTAAATCTATTCAATGTTTTCTGTACGACAAATATTCAGACATCTTTCATAACCAAAAGGATTTAAAGAAATTGATATGAAAACAGTTTTTTTAATTTTTTTCTAAATAAGGATTAATCTGTGATGTTTACTATGGAGGATCGTGAGGAATGAAACTCATGGATGTTCGATGCCAACTGGTTTTATTGTTTTAATTCGGTATATTTATTGTTCACTCGCTCAACTCCCGCCACACACGTTACACACACATATATACATACATAGTTCGTCTCAGCACATCTTACATGTACGTGATTCGCGTCAGCAAATCTTACACGTACAGTTCGCGTCAGCAAACCCTATATTTTTTATAGAGTCAAGTATATAAAGAATATTAATTGCAACATAACGTATAGACGTTTTTTAATTACCAATAAATAATATTATTTAATAATTAAAATCCAAGTTAAATATATAGGAGTCAGGACACAATGTCGTAATTGATAATATAACTAGCTTTTTGAAGGTTGCAGCTTTAAATTTAACTAATATCAATTATCCTATCACTATATTAAATTATAAATTATATATACATTTAAATATATGTGTGTAATCAGTGGTGGCCTAATGGTTAGGGGGCCTGCCTCTCATGCACGAGGGCACGGGTTCGATCCTGGCAAGTACCAATGTGATTTTTCCGAGTCATATGTACTTTCTAAGAGTATTTAGACATCACTGATTAAAGAGGGTTGATGTCAGGCAGGCTGCCGGTCGTAAAAAACAATTAGCCAAAACTATTCACAACATGTAAGGCAGACCCTGGCTATAGCCGGGAAATTGCCAGCAAGAAGAAGAATACATATGTATGTATGTATATAAATGTTTATATAATACTTATCTACCTCCAGATACGAGACTCTAGACGCTGACGACATCAAAGCGATCATGTCCGGAGACAAGGTGAAGATGGACCGAGGGAGGAGCAGCAACACTAATAAAGAACCCTCGCCCGCCACGCTACTGCCGCACACCATGCCCGCATAGGTCAGGTGATAAGTATAACACACATACACACAGTTGGTTAAATATGTTTTATTGACAGCGCCATCTAGTTACAACTTTTATCATCGAAAATTAATTCTGAAATATTTTTGATCCATGTCCTAGGATTTATATGTTTTATTGTGACATCACTGATACGTTCATATCTTAGTATAGAGGTGATAATAAATTGAACATTAATCAATGAATGGAGTATAAAATTTAAGATTAATTGATATTTTTATGTATGACACAAATTTTTTGTATTATAATCGTTTCTTTTTTATTGATGTTGCTTTATTTAATGTACATATACCTAACAAATTAAATAAATATATTTTGGTTAAAGCAGAATCTTTCAACAACAAAAGTGTACTTATATTAAAATTATAATCATTATTTGAGTAATAAATATGTTTTTAGTAATCAAAGTGTAATATCCAACAGGAAACAAACCGACGGGACGCTCAAGCTTTTCACACGACTACAGTTAACACAGGAAGTGACTTTGAAAATTTTGCAGGTTACGGCATTGTTATGATATTACATTGAATAAAATAAAAATAAGTATAACGTTAAATGACAATCTTTCCTTTATGAATGACACCTGTTGGACTCGCTGGGAACTTCTCACAGACTTATAACATTTAGAATACTTAGAACGTGGAAAATTATAGCTTGTAGATATATTATTTATTCATAGTGCCTCTTCCTTATATGTCCATACATGAGGTAGATTACCAATACATTATGTAAATGTGAACGAACAATGATTCGCATGGAAGAAAAGAAATAAAGATTGTAACAAAAAAATATTATTTAACGTTTGAAACTCAAATGTAAATGGATATCAGTGACGATTTTTATTTTTAACAACAAAATTGACGAATTACATTGTGATTGTAATATATATATATAACTGTAGTTTAAGTTTGGAGTTAAACTTCGTTTAACATCAAGCATTCTTATTGTCTGTTGCTAAATAAACGTTAAACATCTCTGCTAGTTTTATTTACATTATATGTAAGGTCATAGAATCTAACTCCACTGATGAATACAAATGGGTTTTTGTTCATTCATTTAATAAATGCCGTTTTTGAATCATTTGTTTTCTTTAAATGCCGATTCAGAAATTTTCATGAGATAAAATAAGGATATTTAAGTCACCTGATAATATAAGAGCTTTTGTTGAATTGAAGAATTATGAATTTAATTTAATAGATGTATTGTTTTTTATTAAGTAAAAAAAATCGTGAAATAACATCATTAGTAATTAATGTCATCAAATTATTTGTTTTACATTTATATAAAATGAACATTCAATTAGAAAATTTTGTGATGAAACTTATGTTTTATATTCAGCCATGTAGTTCAAAAGAAACGACGTATGGTTTATATAAATTGATCTGCTGACCCGGCAAACCTCGTACTGCCTCAATCGATATATAAATAATTTTTTATTTATATTTTTGGAGTTTACCTTTAAGCCATAAATCTCCATGTTGTGAAATGCGACAGAATGATTGACATATTAGTTGTCAAATCTAATGTCCAAAAAAACGTTTGTATGGGAAATAGAAAAGCGCTGTTTTTAGGGTTTTCCCGGAAATGAATCAATTTTTTTCAACTTTTAAACCTTCCCTGACCCTCCACGAACATTTCAAGACTAAGATAAGATAAATCCGTTCAGCGGTTCTCGAGTTTTAGTGAGATTAACGAACAGCAATTCATTTATGTATATTATATAGATTATACACACAGTATGTATGTGTGTGAGTGAGACAGGTATCTCTCTCTGTCTTTCACATGTCTTTAAATAAAAGGCCGTCGTAATGTATGTATATATAGTATATTATATTGGGGCCGGTGTGTGTGTGTGCGCGTCGGCCGCGAGGTGTGCTGACGTCACGAGCCGCAGCCTGGGGTCGCTGGTGGCGAGGAAAACGTGCTGGAGACACACGCGGGGCCTGGACCAACTGGAACATGATAAACACACACATATATATATATATATATATATATATATATATATATATATATATATATATATATATATATACTAGAAGACCTGGCGAACTTCGTATCGCCCTATGATCAACAAATATCTGTCACGTTTTTTATTTATGTTTTTGGAGTTTACCTATCACAGCCATAAATCTCCGTATTTTGAAGTGCGACAGAATTATTGACATATTAGTTAGTTGTCAAATCTAATGTCAAAAAAAAAACGTTTGTATCAGCAATTACTAATAAATTAAAAATTAATTAAAAACATTGTCCAGCGGACAAAATTGTGAATCTAAACCATTCCCAGATCCCCTTGAACACACAAAAAATTTCCTTAAAATCGGTCCAGTCGTTTGAGAGAAGTTCAGTGTCATACACACTCACAGAAGGTATATACTACCTTGGATTTTATTAAAGTTATAATCTGGCCAGTTGATATTTCTGTGTTTGATTAATAAACATATCTTGCTGCGGATCGAACCCATACGTTCTATTTAGACTTGCTTCACTAACTCGAAGGATAATCATGAAATAAAATCAACTTATCCTTATATAACATAAATTCGACATACAGATATTTTTATGAACTTGCTAGAGTCATATAGTAAAACCTTATAGGAGATTCTTGAGATGATAGTATATTAGCAGACATATAGTTTATTATTACTAACCCAACCCACACTCGTCCCTCTCCCAATTCCGAGGTAAGTTGCCTGGCGAGAGACGACCGGATCAACTCTTCAGCGAAACACTTGGTGGCTGATAATAACACTGAGTGGACCGAACTAAAACAATATACACACATATATATAATGTATAATTAGCTTCATAAAACTTTCAAATACTAAGAATAAATAAACATTAATATTTAAATAAATTAATAACACTATATTTATCAATTTATATATAATAAAACAATATAATACTATTAAAACCAATTGTAAATTAAATAAAAATTAATTTGAATATTCAATTATGAATTGTATTAACACATATATATATTCTATGTAAGAACAGAGTAATCGAGGTCAGTTGCTTTGTTTACAAGATTGCAAATTTCTAATGAAATGAACTATATACATACATATATATACAGGGTGACTGGTGAATTACTATCGATACTTGAGGACGTGATATTTGACGATCATATATGACTGAATAAAAATTAATATAACATAAATATTAATAAACTTCTAAGTAAAGTTAACCAAAAGTTATGTAATTAATTACGCATCGTGTGAACACCCTACAGATTAGGTATACACACACACTCACACATACGCGTGCGTCGGCGTGATGTTGTATCAGCACGCCGCCGCGCGCGTCCACACTTGGAACACTTGGAGCGTGTCAACACTTTATTTATTTGTACGGAAATTTTGTCAAAAATTAAGTACCTATTTTTTTACATAATTCGAATGAGAATCATGTATCGAGTATTCTCCTAAAATATTGATAGTAATTCACCAGTCACCCTGTATATATATATCTCCTCACCTGTATGAGTACCCATGCCCTATATCTTCATTCCTCAACACAATGCCGATGTCTTCACACACTTTCTCTATGAACAGGAACCTCAGTCGGTCACTACTATCCACGGGCAACACTTCCTCACTCACAGTTCCTTCAACCAACACGGGTTTCTTCTTAACACTCACATCATTAACTATTTCTATTTCTTCATCGGAGCCACTCACATCTAAATCTACAACTGAATCCTCGGTAACATAATCACTTTTATTGAACACACTCAATGTAGACAGATGACTTTCATTTGGGAATGTATCTCTAATGTTTGATTCTGATTTTCCTTCATTGATATCGTTCCACGATGACCATTCATCTGTTTTGAGGTCGGCCTTCTCCTGTCTAATTGGATAGTATCCGTGTAATCTTGAGTATATTAGGATCTGTTTCGTTCTCCAAATTTTACTGGGATTGGATTCAAATGTCTCTGTGAGTAGTTTGTTGATCAATTTTGCTCGTGACCACTGGAAATGTATTTATATAAGATTAATATCATTAAATAATATATTATTTAATATATACAGAGTGTATAGATGTATGTATGTATGAATAGAATTTCTGGTTTATTAATAACTGTGTGTTATATGCACTAAGTTACATATCTGACTTTAAAAATATACTTTTTTTCATAAATGTATATTTTTTTATTCATCTTAGAAAACATTGCTGATGTTTCAAATATTCATCAAAACTGGTCATTGATTTGTTGTAATTGGAAATATGTAGTTGCATAACTATTTTACTGTGGTGAATCTTAATCTTTTTTATATGATATCAGAATAAAATGATTTTTTTTATTACTTATTACGCAAAATTTTACAAGCTTATTAAACTAAGCCTTATGTCTATATTTTGTTCTGATAAAGATCGTAACAATACTGTACAATTTACAGACAATACAACATAATTCTTGTAACATAAATTCAAAAGTTTGTAATGATAGAAAGATGTTTATAACTCTTTCACGTAAAAAGTACTGTATTGATTTTGATAAAACTTCAGAGTAACAGTTCACTTATACTAATTCAAGCTGGAATTATGTGTAGTTGTTGTGGGATCAACGCATAACAGTTTTATATGTATGAAGACACGTAACACACTATAGATGTTGCTACCAGTTACTAATATTTTTACAAAACATTTTTCTGTAAATGCCACTCTGATGTTCACGCGTACAAAGACGCGGGTGGAAACTAGTATATAAAATATGTATATAATATGCTCACCTCCAAACTAGTATATATATATAATATGCTCACCTCCATATTCCTACGCTTAGCGAAGTCCAACTTCCAATATTTGTCATCAGTTTTAACAACAAACGGGAACATCGCCACATAATCAACATCTCCGGCCGCCTCACTCACCAACGGTATGTGTTTCAATAGATAACTAACCATAGATTTAACACACGTGAATTTAGATATAATATCTTTATATTTACTGTACACTACACTCTTTGATTTGTCTCTGGTATCCTCTAATCTAGCTTGTCTATGGTCCCTCTTGTAAAAATCGCTTGCTAAATAACAATGGTCATTCTCTATATGATTATATGTATACTCTTCACAATTATCTGTTTTTAATAGAGATCTTAATATAGACTCTTTATTTTTTGTTGTTTTCACACCGTTTGCTTTCAACGGGCTTATTTTAGCTGTCTTTACATTGCCTTCAGAGTTTATGACTATTTCTTGCACCTTCGTCAGATCTAATGCCCTATCCATTTCTAGATAGTATATTTTCCCTGTCGTAGGCTCTATGTACTTCATTATTCTCTTATTTTGTGTGTTCTTCACTTCATCATTGACTTCATTGTGTACTTCATCACTCTCATCATCATGTTTGTCCACTGTTTCAGTTTTTATTTCATTCTTAACTAACATTTCATCAACGTTAACTTGACTCGTGTCTTTATCAAAGAACTCCATCCAACTATCTTGTTTATCTTCTAAGCTACTTCTGTTCTCTTCTTCTGTTAATTCTTCTTTAATCTCCTTAACTTCTTCGTCCTTCTGTTCATGTTCTATCATATCCGGTGTACTATATAACCATACATCCACAACTGTCTCTGCACCTGAAATTATTTATGAGAAAATTTTAATAATGAGTATGTTAAGATATATCATCGATAAATAAGTGTATCTTCTTCTTCTTCTACCTGGCAATATCCCAGCTATAGCCAGGGTCTGCCTTACATGATGTGAATAGTTTTTGGCTTTTTGTTTTTACGACCGGCCGCCTGCCTGACATCAACCCGCTTTTGGGAAACAAGTGTAAATAAGTGTATCACATATTGTTTATTTAGAAAGTAATTATGTAATAATATTTGATCAGATAAAATTTACATTATAACAATATGCTATGAAGAATTAAACATAAAAGTTTATCTATAGTAGAAATATAGAGTTTTCATGATTTAAATATCATTTCTGAATTAAATTCATGTACAATGCTTGAGACACTACCCTGTTAATCATTATACACCTCTCATATACAGGGTGACTGGTGAATTACTATCAATATTTAAGGAGCATACTCGGTACATGATTCTCATTCGAATTATGTAAAAAAAATAGGTACTTAATTTTTGACCAAATTTCCGTATAAATAAATAAAGTGTGTACACGTTCCAAGTGTTACAAGTGTGGACGCGTGCGGCGGCGTGCTGATACAACAACACGCCGCCGCGCGCGTATGTGTGTGTGTGTGTGTATACCTAATCTGTAGGGTGTTCACACGATGCGTAATTAATTACATAACTTTTGGTTAACTTTACTTAGAAGTTTATTAATATTTATGTTATATTAATTTTTATTTTGTCATATATGATCGTCAAATATCACGTCCTCAAATATCGATAGTAATTCACCAGTCACCCTGTATATTAAATCATACCAAACACTACTATTATCACAATATTTCATTACTACATGTACTGATACTGTTATATATGAAAATCAATGAAATCGAAATCGAAGTCAGTGGTGGCCTAGTGGTTAAAAAGCCCGATGCTCATATATGAGGGCGCGGGTTCGATCCTGGCCTTGGCAAGTACCAGTGATTTTTCCGAGTCATATGTACTTTCTAAGAGTATTCAGACATCACTGATTAATGCATTCCCAAAGAGGGTTGATGTCAGGCAGATGGTCGGTCGTAAAAACAATTAGCCAAAACTATTCACAACATGTAAGGCAGACCCTGGCTAAAGCTGGGAAATTGCCAGGTAGAAGAAGAATGTTATATATGAAAATCATGATCCTTCCACATACTATACACACACACTTATATCCTACTAATATTATAATTGCGAAACTTTGCGAGTGTGTGTATGTTTGTTACTTCTTCACGCTCAAACGGCTGAAGCGATTTTGATAAAATTTTGTATACAAGAAGCTGACGTGTAGGAATAAAACATAGGCTACTTTACATCCCGGAAATCCGGGTAACACCGCGGGGCACAGCTAGTGTAATATATATATACCTAGTGTCTGTAGTCCAGTGTATTGTCTATCAAGTTTAATAGTGTGTGTGATAGTGGCCGGTCTATTCAGATGTGACTTCAAGAAGTGTAGCGTCACTAAAGCAGGGAACTCGCCCCAACCTCGACGACACACTTGGAACGGAGGCTTACTGGAAATATATTAAATATATTGTTAATAGGCCATGATAATATTCGATAACAACACATTCTTATAGAATAGTTTATATACATATGTAGAGGAAAACAAATCATTATAATCTATTTTATATACATGTATATAATAGCTTACGTAATGAAATTTTTGATGAAAAAACCTTTTTAGAAAGAAATTATTAACTTATTGTAAATAGCACTTAGATTAAGTACTCTTGAATTGTATAAGTCGTTACTACTATACTAAATTGTGAATTAAATTAAATTATGTAATACATCTCATTTAAGTGAACATTGTATGTTCTTCATGAGGAAAATAAAGTTCTTTAACCACTATATAGGAATTTTAGTGTATATCATATAATGGATATTTGACTATATAATTTAGTTTATTTTGCTATGTTGTATTATATATAAACTAGTTTTTGCTAGCGACTTCGTTTGCGTCAGTTCTAGAATAAAAAATGTATAACTTTCCAAACTCTATTCCTCCTTAAAGACAATAGATGAGAAGATTTTAGATTTGATCAACTTTCTTTATTTTTTTGTCTTTTTCCTTGTTAAAGATATCTCTCCACCAATTTTCATCCATATCCGTACAGCCGTTCTTTAGTTATAAATAGTGTTTTTTATATATAAAGATACTAGCTTTCCGCCCGCAGCTTCGCCCGCGTGGAGTTCGATTATATCGCGTTTCCAAGAGAACCTTTCAAAAGTCTGGGATAAAAACTATCCTATGTTCTTTCTCAAGATCAACTCTATCTATGAACCCATTAAAATCAGTTCAGTGGTTTATGCGTGACAGCGTAACAGACAGACAGAGTTGCTTTCGCATTTATAATATTAGTAGGGATGAATATAACTCACTCTATATGTACAGTGTCGTGTGGCGCATACGAGTGGTGTAACCTGACAGTTATTGCTTCTACAACGGGCGCGCCTCGCACGTACAACAACCACTTGTGGGTGGAGCGGTCACTGCGGGACGCTGGCGGGACGTACTTTGATGTGTTGCCTGGAAACAAAACAATTATATATATAGGGTGAAATATATATATGTATAGGGTAAGAGTGTTTAGACATCACTGATTAATGCATTCCCAAAGAGGGTTGATGTCAGGCAGGCGGCCGGTCTTAAAAACAATTAGCCGAAACTATTCACAACATGCAAGGCAGACCCTGGCTATAGCTGGGAAATTGCGAGGTAGAAGAAGATATATATAGAGTAAAATAATAATAAAGAACCCTATATACACACATATAAACTTGTTATGCTACTTCTAATAAGGTTGCGTTAAACATTTAACGCTTTTGATAAAAAGAGACAGAGCGAGACGGAATGATTGGCGAACGTATGGAATTAATAGTGACTTGTAAGTTGTAAGTACATAATGTTAATAACGGTCTTGAAACAATAAATATTTATTAAAAATCAATTTCTGACTTCCTATTTTCATTCCAACATTAATAAGTTTCACTTCTTCTACAAAATATTATTTTTTTCTCTTAAAACACCAAAAAAATCTTTAAAAATTAATTTCTGCCTTCCTATATTCAAAACTAAGTTTCACTTCTAAAAATAATATTTCTTTGGACATCTAGTCGTTATTCTTCTTCTACCTGGCAATTTCCCAGCTTTAGCCAGGGTCTGCCTTACATGTTGTGAATAGTTTTGGCTAATTTTTTTTTAAACGGCCGCCTGCCTGACATCAACCCTCTTTTGGGAATGCATTAATCAGTGATGTCTAAATAATCTTATAAAGTACATATGTATGACCCGGAAAAATCTTGGTACTTGCCCTGGCCAGGATCGAACCCGCGCCTTCGTACATGATAGGCGGGCTCTCTAACCACTAGGCCACCACTGACTTTTGTACATTATTATTTACTCACCAATTATAATCCTATATCTGTGTTTCATTTGGTTCCTGGTGACCTCGTCTAATGTGATCACATTATTGACCTTTGGGTCTATCTGTCGAGGTATCTTCTTGGGCTTGCTACTAGCCTGACCTTTGACCGATGACCCCTCAAGTTCATTATTCTCCATCTTGACCTCAGTCAGACTAAGGTCATTCTTATCCGGTCGTAGTGATTTTGTCTCATCAGCTGATATAGTGTAATTTCTTTTTTGTACCATGGCCTGGAAAATTTATATATATTTTAAAACATTGGTTTGTTAATTTGTTAATGATTTACTAGTATTTCAGATGTTAATTCTGAGTTATCTTTAAATAATATATATAAACACCTTAATATATTTCAAAAGTTAATTTGAATTATTCTCATTAAGTAATAAATGCTCAACCTCCATATACATCATTATTACTTTGAAAGTTAGTGTAACTGTTTTAATATGTGCACATAATTAATAATATTAATTGTAATGCCTAAAATTATAAATAAATTGTAGAAAAATAGAAAACACTACAATGAGATTAAGTTAGTTTATATCTCACCAAAAACATGCCTGTTAAAAAGGGGGCCAAGTTCCAATCGGCTAATTGTTTGCCTAAAAAAAGGGGTGAAATCCAATCTAATGCTAAGGTTAGATGCACTTTGAAATCGATCATAATCATCTTCATCAACAGCATGATCCACTGGTAAACATTTGCCATTCCCAAGACTCGCCACCACACCCAGTCCTCTGCCTTCCACATCCAGCCACTACCCGCCACCTTATTCACGTCAACGGTCCATCTGGCCGAAATTCACTTTACCATACACCCAACTTAAAATATGGTATAGTTGTGAAAATACGTAGGTGCTTGGTTAAAAATATCTAAAATTATAATACTTCTAAATTTGAACTTGGCAGGTTTTTGTGCTGTACGTAACACTTAATTAATTGTATCATTAATTTACTATTTATATTATTATTTATATTTATATAATTATTTATATTTATATAATTTAAATAATTAAATTAACCTGGGTGTGGTGGCGAGTCTTGGGAATGGCAAATGTTTACCAGTGGATCATGCTGTTGATGAAGATGATTATGATCGATTTCAAAGTGCATCTAAACTTAGCATTAGATTGGATTTCACCCCTTTTTTTAGGCAAACAATTAGCCGATTGGAACTTGGCCCCCTTTTTAACAGGCATGTTTTTGGTGAGATTTCAATACTTTTTTTCAAGAAATCGTACCTAAACAATAGAAACCTGATTTTTTAGGTAAGCAATATTTAATTAAGTTATACAGTGTGCATTATGTATACATGACAATAAATATATATACAATTAAAAAACAATTTAAATTAAATTGATTTCCAAGGTTGTAAAGGTTATAAATTAGTTTCCACGCGGTTTCATTCATCATTGGAGCGTGTTTTTTAGTTTTTTTTTAAACTATATTTATTTTTTGTTTTTTAGTTTCATTTATCACCGATTGATAGATGTACTCATATTATTAATTATTAATATTTCATTATTATGTATTTTATTGTGCTGAGCTGAGCGCCTATATAAAGGTTTTGATTACCTGTCAGTGAGTCAGTGCCAAAATTAGCTATTTTCACAGGGTCATATTTCAGGATCTACTGAAGCTTTATCTATGAAATTTGGCTTACTGCTTTAGTACTAGTATTTGATTACGTAGGTACAATTTTATCTCTGTACTTGCAATAGACACTGAGCTACAGGGGGTCAAAAGTGGGTCGAATTTATTAAAAATTCGATATTTAGAATTGAGGTAACTCACGCTTGACCGATTTCTTAAATTTCTTAATTTTTTGTTAATCTACATATAACACACAACCTGTGTACCAAATTTCATAATGCTAAAACAATGGGAAGTGGCCTAGAGGTTTTGATTACCTGTCAGTGAGTCAGTGCCAAAATTAGCTATTTTCACAGGGTCATATTTCAGGATCTACTGAAGCTTTATCTATGAAATTTGGCATACTGCTTAAGTACTAGTATATGATTACGTAGGTAAAATTTTATCTCTGTACTTGCAATAGGCACTGAGCTACAGGGGGGTCAAAAGTGGGTCGAAACGGTTCGTGTAAATATAGTGCACGGTAGTGCGCCGGCCTGTGGAACTTGGCCGGCGCACTACCGTGCGCTTAGATCATAATACAGCCACGGGCAAAAGTATTAGGCACCCTACAGTAAGACAAGTTTTAGGGTGTTTTAGCATAGCGAGTGTAAATAAAAGTGTATTTATGATTACAATGGTTTATTTTAAGAAAATAATTAATATTTTGTAGGTCCACCTTTTGACTTAATAACCGCAGCCACTCTTTTTGGCATTGACTCTACCAGCCTGAAACATTCTTCTCTTGATATATTTTTCCATTCCTGCTGTAACGCGGCCAATAGAGCTTGTTTATTGCTAATCGAGTGCCTGCGGATATTTTTCTTTAAAATGGACCAAATATGCTCAATCGGGTTGAGGTCTGGTGATTGTGGAGGCCAGTCCAAAAGATCAATATGATTTTCAGCAAACCACTTCATGGTATGTGCGGACTTGTGGCAAGTGGCGTTGTCTTGCTGAAATTTCAGGCCATCGGTGTTTGTATCACCGAAAATTTGCGTTATCGACGTTGCTAGTGCTGTTTCCAGAACTTCAGTGTATTTAACACTATTCATTCGTCCCTCACACAACACCATTTCGCCCACTCCGTCGGCAGCCATGCAGCCCCAGATCATTATTGAGCCTCCACCATGCTTAACAGTGGGAACCACACATTCTGGGTTGTATTCTTCGCCAACCCTTCGCCTAACATAAGTCACACCGGGTGTTCCAAACACCTATGCCAAACGAAAAAAACACATTTATTTTCAAAGTTATTATTTTTCTTGCAGTACGTTATTTTAAAAACATTTATGTGTTTTAATATTGTACATAAAATAAATAACAATACCTCAAAGTTAGATTCGTCTGACCACAGTATGTTGGACCAATCTTCCACTGACCAATCTCTATGTTTGAGAGCCCACTCCAACCGATTTTTCTTATTGTGTTCTGACAGCCACGGCTTCTTCCTTGCTTTACATCCTTTTAATCCAGCTTTAAGAAGTCTTCTTCTCACAGTATAAACACTCACTGAGCTGCCTTTTGCCTCAGATAATGCTGCAGCGAGCTCTAAAGCAGTTTTTTTCCTGTTTTGTAGAGACTGCCTAATCAACAATCGATCTTCCCGTTCAGTAGTAACTTTTCTTCTGCCTGTTCTTGGTCTATTTTCATGGGTGCCAGTCTCTTTTAACCGATTTATAGCATATTGAACTGCACATCGCGAGCACTTCACTTCTCGGGCTATTTTAACCTGAGACATGCCTTGTTCATGTAAAATCTTAATTCTTAGACGCTGTTCAGCACTAAGTTCAGATTTTTTCGGCATGATTAACACGATAAATGTTAGTCGTTAGAATTGTGATAGAAATAGTTTCGTAGAAGACGTGTATGTTCACTGCAAGCACTGATAACACACTATAACCCGAAACGCAAAAAAAGCAAATTCGAAGAAACACCGCTTAGGAGCACACCTGGATGTCATAAATATTTACTTTTATCTTTATTTGGTTAAAAATTGCCTCTAATACAATAGCTAAACCATAAAACACACACTTGACCGCAATATAATGAGATAGTGACTAACAATAGGGGTGCCTAATACTTTTGCACGCAGCTGTAGTTGGTCAAAACTTTCACTTAGCTAAAATAACAGATTATTAGCTTTCGGGCAGCAGCTTCAATATTAAGTAACAACAATTGACGTAACACACATACATACATACATATAATCCGCGAGACTTAAGCCGAGCTTTGCATTTGTGTGATTGAAAGTAAAAGTAGAGTTAGACACAAAACTTTTAGAATTGAATTTTATTACATTTTAAATAGATACATAAGTGCTAGGGCTATTCTAGATTAAAAATAAAATAAGCAAATCTTAATGAGACCTAAGATTTTCGCGAGTACTCATTTAAATGAAACTAATATTTTCGGATTTTACTTTGCGTTTTTTATTTTTTATTACAAACTACATACTCCCGACGTTTCGGCTACTTTTCAGCAACCGTGATCACGGGCAGACGAGATGTGTAAGCAAATCTTGTAAAAGTCCAGATGAAAATATTATAGAAAAAATATAATAATTAATAAAAAAGTTGAAAAAACTATACACATTTTTTCTTCACTTGACATTGCATTTACAACATTTGACGTTGCTACCAGTACAAAGAGTTAAGTCAAAGTGTGGGGCGGAGTAAAAGCAGAATAAACCGGTTCAAACCTACACTATCCGTGTGCACTCACACAAAATCCAAAGATCAGCTTATACATATATGATATACTATACATACATTTGATATACAGTGTAAACTCTATATAACGACACTGAAGGGACCGTGCATTTTATAGCGTTATAGAGTTGTCGTTAAATAGAGAGAAGTAAAATCAGAATTATAAAAAGACAAAGTTTATTTCAGACTAGTGTTAGTACTTATGTACATAAAAAAGAATGTTATTCGAACGCTATTGCGTATAGTCTGTTTATCGTTAAATCGAGTGTCGTTATATAGAGTTTACACTGTATTATAAATACTTCTGATGATACAAACCCCATAATCCCTCCTAGTCTTCCTCGGTGCCCTGGACTTGAATATCTCCTCGATGGCAACAGATTTCTTGCCGAGCAGCTTCTGTACTGATGGATGTATCCTGGGCTGAGTGTTGCGGAGTATAGATGAAACCTGTGAAATATTTACATACTATATACATACTTTTTGCTTATACATTATATATAAACTTTTTGCTATGACACTTTTTATGCTATAGCTTTATTTGAATTGGAATCATGTAATATTCAGCCAATGTCAATATTTTTATTTGTTTGACGAATTATAATCTTGAGTACTGTGTGGAAACACAAAGGAGTTTGTTGAATGGAATAGAGGTGTTTATTTTAATTTCTTTATTATATGATGTCAAATATAACGTAGATAGATTTTATTATATTAACTTCTTTAATTCAGTCTTGCTACTAGCAATACATATATTACGTATTTCATATCGTTTTATTAAATACTACAAATATAAACAATTTCATTAAATTATTTATAAATATTATATAAAGTTTTATATCTGTATTTAAGTTTATTTACAACTAGCTCTTGCATTTCATAATGATAAGTTAATTATTTTTGTATATAAGTTATGTTTTAACTGTCTTCAAAATAAATTTGGTGAGTGAAAATTTTAATAATAAAATAAATTAGACTAACAATGGTTGAAACTTAACTGAAAGAAATTTATTGAATACAGAAATTATAACCACTTATATGATTAATGTTCCTTTATAAATACATATTTAAAATTTTCAATAAATGTCATCATATAAGTAATATTTTGAAACACTGGAATAAGCTTTAAATATTCTATTAATGTCATAAATGAGAGATTTTGATAAAACTTAGCAATAAAAAATGTAGTAATCTGAACATATTAGTTTCATTTAGTAGTATATACTTACTTCAGATCTAGCTCTTGGTTCTGTTTGTGCTGCAACCTCATCTTCTACTTGGCTAGCTGATAGTTGTAGCTTCGGATTGTTATAGTAGCTGTTCACGAGGGCATACCTCAACTCATGAAGATACCGTCTTGCTAAAGACATCCTGGAATTAATTATTTGATGTATTGTGTAGATTTTCTATAAGAAAACTTATAGATATATACATATATAATAATTAATTTTAGGCAGACCCTGGCTATATTTGGGACATTGACAGGTAGAAGAAGAATGATTAATTTTGTTCTCTAGTTCATTAATTCTAGTTCAGTTAGCAGTTAGCAATTTAGCTTAGTAAAGCAACAGTAAAAATATTCTTATGTTGCAAATTTGAGTCCTGCTTGTGTACATGAATTTTTTTCTTTATTACTATTTGAAATTTATTTATTTCATTGATATAGTATATGTCGGCGCAGTTATAATTTTAATAATCAATAATTGAGGGTAGATAAATTATCAGGTGTCGTTCGCGTAACAACCTGTCCGAGTGAAGTCATAACAATGGCTGTTAGTCATTATAAATAGAGGCGAGATTACTGATTACAGATAGTCGTGCTGGAGCCGTCGCAGGGATCGGACCTCTTGGAAGCGAGACACCGTCCCACCGGCTGTGAGGGCTGTGAGGTTACCTTCGATAGCCTCAAGGGCTGACGACATTCGAGGACAAACCGCGCTGGTGACGTCAGTTATGCTGACGTCACTCATTTTAAAAACCGCGTATTGGCATCTTCTTCGACATCAGAAGTGGGATAGTTCACTTCTGCTCGTCCATCTGATAATAATGGAATTTTTCTTCAATGTTTCAGAGCCCCTGTGGACCACGGACAAAAAGTCCTAGACCACAGCATCGACCTACCTCAATCCCTTAGAGCCTCTGTGGACCACGGCGTACAAGACCGCCCAGACCACAGCAACATCCTAAAAATTAAATCCTTTGTGAAACGATCAGAAGTCAAGTGTACACCACAGATCTGGAGTGTTACCTCTGAGCTAATCACGTGTTACCCACAAGTTAACCTCGTGTCCATGATGTATCCATAAGAGAACCATGAGATTCTGTAGGGATGCCTTGTGAAGCCGTGAGGAGACATGTATGCACCAAAGAGTGATACCTCTGAGCTAATTACGTGCTATCCTTGAGCTAACCACAGGTCCTTGATGTATCCGTAAGAGAACCATGAGATAACGAGGGGACGCCTTGTGGAACCGTGAGGAGACATGTATACACCGTAGATCTGGAGAGTGTTACATCTTTGAACTAATCATGTGCTACCCTTGAGCTAGCTCATAACAATCAGTTTTTGTTTTTATTTCATTCTCAGGCGACCAGGGAATCTTAACCAAGAATGCAGGATGGTGCAGAGCGCGCACCAACTGTCAGAATGGCCGTGTCGGCGCAGTTACAATTTTAATAATCAATAATTGAGGGTAGATAAATTATCAGGTGTCGTTCGCGTAACAACCTGTCCGAGTGAAGTCATAACAATGGCTGTTAGTCATTATAAATAGAGGCGAGATTACTGATTACAGATAGTCGTGCTGGAGCCGTCGCAGGGATCGGACCTCTTGGAAGCGAGACACCGTCCCACCGGCTGTGAGGGCTGTGAGGTTACCTTCGATAGCCTCAAGGGCTGACGACATTCGAGAACAAACCGCGCTGGTGACGTCAGTTATGCTGACGTCACTCATTTTAAAAACCACGTTTTGGCCTCTTCTTCGACATATACTAATATCGACTTACAGAAAATTATTTTTTTGACATTTATTTTGAATATTTACTATGCAGAAAAATCATGAATAATGAGATCTAAGATTTTCGCGAGTACACATTTAAATGAAACTAATATTTTCGGATTTTACTTCGCGTTTTATTTTAGAAACTACATACTCCCGACGTTTCGGCTACTTTTCAGCAACCGTGATCACGGGCAGACGAGATGTGAGTGTCTGTCAGTTGGTCTGGTCATTTTATCTCCTACCGCCATCGATTTCTTAATTGTCTTGCGTACCGCTCTGGATGCCGGCAAAATACGCTCACGGTGTCTTGAGGTCCTGTGGTGTGGTCACGGACATGGGATTTTATATTTTTAAGAAGAGGATCCCAGGTGTTTGATAGGTTCCAGCCATCTTCTCTATTGAAATTTGGGTGTTTTTTAATTTCAATAGCCTCGCGGATTAACCTTGGTATATATCTGTCTTCACGAGCGAGGATCTGTGGTTTATCAAATCTAATGTAGTGGCCTGGTTTGTCCAATGCAGATTGATTCACCAACTTATAAACTGGCTAAATTCCTTTCAAAGATATTATCACCACTCCGGGGCCACACAAAGTCATTTGTTAAGGATTCCTACCAGTTTGTCAATGACATTAAACACCTAAAATTGACAGACAATGACATTATGGTCAGTTTCGATGTACAGTCATTATTCACTAATCTACCTGTTCTTGACTGCATTGAGATTGTAAGAGGTAAGTTAAAGGATAATAAGATGCCTATTGAATATGCAGAATTGTTAAAGCACTGCCTAACATCTGGCTATCTCATGTGGAAGGATGAATTCTACATACAAGTAGATGGAGTAGCAATGGGTTCGCCGGTTTCCCCCGTTGTCGCAGATATATTCATGGAAGACTTCGAGGTGCGAGCCCTTAGCTCTCCTACAATAAGACCCTTAATTTATAAACGCTATGTAGATGACACTTTCACAATATTAAATAAAAACAAAACATCTGCTTTCTTGAACCATCTTAATTCTATCAATAATAAGATCCAGTTTACTATAGAATTAGAGGCAAATAATTCTTTAGCTTTCCTTGATATACTAGTCATCAGGAATCCTGACAATACTTTGGGACATACTGTTTATAGAAAACCCACACATACGGATAGGTACCTCAATGGTAAATCACACCACCACCCTGTACAGTTAGCTACCGTTGGTAAATCTTTGTTACAGAGAGCACAACGCCTTTGTGATGCTGACCACCTAGAGGCCGAGCTGCAGCATGTAAGACATGCTCTGACCATCAACAGCCTGCCCGTGCCTCGCCAGCATCGCAAGAACCAGACGAAGCCACCTACAGTTGAGCGACAACCTGCAATTCTACCATATGTAAAGGGAGTTACTGACAGAATAGGCAACATCTTGAAGAAGGTTTCAATCAAGACTATTTATAAACCACATAAGAAAGTGAGCCAATTCTTGAGACCAATCAAGAGTAACATTCCTTTACAACAAGCGGGTGTATATAAACTTGATTGTGACTGTGGCTTGTCATACATCGGACAGACAAAGAGAAGCATCGGTACAAGGGTTAAGGAACACGTTTCAGACGTCAGGAATAGGCGCGCGTCGAAGTCAGCAGTGTGCGAACATGCATTGGACAAACCAGGCCACTACATTAGATTTGATAAACCACAGATCCTCGCTCGTGAAGACAGATATATACCAAGGTTAATCCGCGAGGCTATTGAAATTAAAAAACACCCAAATTTCAATAGAGAAGATGGCTGGAACCTATCAAACACCTGGGATCCTCTTCTTAAAAATATAAAATCCCATGTCCGTGACCACACCGCAGGACCTCAAGACACCGTGAGCGCATTTTGCCGGCATCCAGAGCGGTACGCAAGACAATTAAGAAATCGATGGCGGTAGGAGATAAAATGACCAGACCAACTGACAGACACTCACATCTCGTCTGCCCGTGATCACGGTTGCTGAAAAGTAGCCGAAACGTCGGGAGTATGTAGTTTCTAAAATAAAACGCGAAGTAAAATCCGAAAATATTAGTTTCATTTAAAATCATGAATCCCTACTAATATTATAAATTTGAAAGTAACTCTGTCTGTCTTTTACGCTTTCAAGCCTAAACCACGGAACTGATTTTAATGAAATTTGGTACAGAGATAGAGTTGATCTTGAGAAAGAACATAGGATAGTTTTATCCTAAACTTTCGGAAGGTTCTCTTGGAAAAGCGATGTAACCAAACTCCACGCCGGCAAAGCTGTGGGCGGAAAGCTAGCTTAGAATAAATCATCGATTTACATACATACATACATACTCCCGAAAATCTAAGATGCTGTAATATGAGCATCACAGAATTATTGATTAAGATAATTTAATCAAGAATAAAGTAATAATATTCAGTCAGTTTAGTCATATAGAAACATTGATTTGATGCACTTATTATATTATATCTTACATATATCCTTCAATATACTTGCAAGACAAGTCGGTTATTGATAATTTTAAATCTATATCATGTATATTATTTCAATCGCCACAATTTTTATTATAAGCAATCATAATTCGCAATAAACATGTTATTTTCAAAAACTTAATGATTTCAAATTATATTACTTATTTATATACCAAAATGTGGAAATAATTACAGTATTATAAGAGAAAAGTGAAACACAAAGGATAACTTATCTTTTAAAAGATATAACAACCAGAAATCCTTTTGATAGATAAAATTATAATTAGCGAAAATTTACATATTATATATACATAAATATACACACAAAGATATATATATATATCAATTTACTTCACAATATAATAAATAAACATTACATAACAATTATATGTACTGTGAGATCTTGTCCTCTCGACAAAATTGTAATTGCAATTGCTAAATTGAGTTGAATAAAACTTTGAAAATTCTAGAAAAATCTATATTATAGACGGAGATGTTAAAAATAATAAGTAATTAAGAATTATTAAGGCTAGAAAAAGTTTAAAGTTTAATAATTTAAGACTTAAGGGAAACTTATATCACATATAAAATAATATTTTAACAATTTAAAAGTAAAATTGTATTGTAGTATAAGAAATATATAACCTATTTTAAAATATATTAATTTGGTATCTAACCGATTCTTCTACAGACACACTTAATCTATAACTATTGTTTTCATATTTGTTAAAAAAGCTTCAATTAAATTAATTTCAGTCACAATATATTTAACACATAATATTTTCATTACAAAGTTATTAAAGTTCTCTTGATATTACAATAAAACCACATGTTCTTTATTCAAATTTATGTTGTAACTGTATTAACTTTGTATTTTTTTGGTAATGTATTCTTAATTATTATAGTTAATTTGTGGAAACTACAGGACAAACCTTTGGTCGATCAGATTAACTTCCCTCTCACGAACATCCAATTCATTTTGAAACTCGCGGCGTAATATAGTCTTTATTGTTTGAATGTTATCTTCCTGAGAGACTTTTGGCTTGTCTGGCTTCTCAACCGCCGGTGCTTCTGGATAGTCCGGATCGTGGTACTCTTCTTTATGTTCCATAATAACTAAATTTCCCAAAACTAAACCTATAAATGCCCTTTTATACTAACAAGTAACCACTAAGATTTATCTTTCAGTTTATATGACGTCAGTCGCGCAAAAGTTATTTTATCCATTCACTGTAGCTTATAGAACATTTGAGTAATATTTAATTGAACACTATAATTTATAATAACAAAAATAATTTTATTTCATCCAACTATTAGGTGATTTGACAGAAAAAGAGTCAACAACCGAATCATTAGGGTGGGTTTTTTTACGTTCGAATACCTTAAGTGATTATGTTAGAGTTATAATTAATATCATTATTATTGGTATTACCAATTATATTTTATATAATTAATTTATTGAACATTTTTTATAATTCCTATACTATTTATGTGTCCTTGTAAATTGGGTGCAATAAATTATTATATCAAAAGTTACAAAAGTTCAATTTGTAAATGAATGAACTTAAAAAAAATTACTTCATTTTATGTAACGTCTGAAATAAAACATGTTTTCTTTTGTTATTACTAATAATATTTTTTTTGTTTGAAATTAATATTGACAAATATAACTTAAGAAACGTCTAGCAACTTTCTGTATTATGTACCTGTCAGTTGTGAACACAAGTGACGTTCATACTTCATACTGTATAAACTGTATTACTTTTGCAACCAGCCAACAAGTTACCACGACGAAACTGTTCAAAAAATCCTCTACGTTAAGTTATTTTTGATAACAAAAACTTTAATCGTAATGTAAGAGCTCGTTTAGAGCGAGCGTCCATGTCTGACTCTCAAGCCAACGGCCAGGGGGCCATGTCAGAGCCACGCAGATCTTTTTTCTACCCAGACAGCAGTAGCGATACAGAAGAATACAGAACAGACGCCGAAGATCGCCGTAAGCGTCTGTCCAAACGCAACGGACCGAATATTAGAAGGATGCCGCCGAATATGCCTCCAAAAAACCAAAATCCCAACGCTCCCATACCTTCCACATCGGGCCAGGATTTCCCGAAAAACGGTCAGAAAAATCAGTTATGCGAAGACAGGATCACGTTGGTCGTTGATAATACGAGATTCGTCGTCGATCCCGCACAGTTCACCGCACATCCGAATACAATGCTCGGACTTATGTTTAGTTCTAGTAAGTATGACTGTGATAAACAAACAAAAGAATCATGCAACAATTTCATACAAAATTCATATTTAGACTGAAAAATCTAGATTTTCTTGAAACTGGTTATTAATATTGAATATGACAATTGAATTTTTTTTTCCTTATATATTTTTTCTCATTGTCTCTTAATCAATCAATCAAAATCATCTTAAAAATCAATGAATCATAATTAATATGACTATCAACGTTAAGATTAATTAGTTATGCATTGAAAAGAATATTGTATAAAATGGTTTTAAGAAAGAGTGAGACAAAGAAAAAAAGTGTAAGGATGTCTTAAAAACATATATTTAAAATTGCAGGCTTATTAAATAGATTAATTAAAGTACTGCTATATTTCTTCTATTGTAATTTTGTCTTATATTTTGCATATTTAAAAGATTCTTAAATAGTGTTAGGATTTTCCATACATTTTTATAATATCTCTTCAACAACAAATTTAAAATTGCATTACATTTATTTTAATTGAATAAAAAGCTTTTATAACATATTTTTCAATATTATATTAGTTGTTATACATCAACTAGTTTTTGCCTGTGAGTTTGTCTGTGTGAATGTTGACTTAGGCTTGGAGATAGCATTGCCAGGCGTCTGGATAAAGCCACATAGTTAGGCTTTTTGATTGCATGTCCGGCTAAAATAAACGGTGTCCGTCTTTTGTTAGGCTTTTTACATTTCGCAAATTAATAATAAAGTACCTATCTAAGACTGATTTGGCATTCAATTTTATTTATTATTTCACTACAAATTAACAAGATTTATGATAATGATCAAAAAGACTTGATTTTACATACAATAAAATTGTCGTACCTATTAATACTAAGACAAAATCCTCAATAATATAGGGTGTCCGGCTTTTTTAACCAAATGTCCGGCCAAACTGGCTGGTCTCTCTGGCTATTAGGTTTGGCGACCTGGCAATGCTACTTGGAGATAAATGTATAGTGTATTGAAGCAATAAGTGTGATAACAAACTTACTACTATGTCTTTCTATAGTTGCTATATATCTATTTATAGCTTCTAAATCTATCTTATAAGTCCTATACAATTATTATTACCAAGATCGATTAGAAACTATCTGGTATTCCAGAATAAATTGTATCATATGTGCTATTCTAATGTGTAAGCTACATTACTAAAAAGTTTTATCGAAATCTTCATTAACTTGGATATATAATATTAGTATATACTGAAGTTATATTTAATTGTGAATTATAATTTATGAATAAGTTTAATTTATATTAAAAAATATATATCTGTACATTATAAGATGTGTTTTAAGTATTAAGTTATATAAAAAGTAATTTAGAAAGTAAACTTATAATAAAAAATATTTATTTGAAGTTACTAATTAATACTGCTTCATTTCATTCATATATAATATAATAAGTAATTTGTATGTTTGTTACTCATTCCTATTATATACTATTAAATAGACTGATGTCATGAAAACTGGCATTTCGACTCAAAAAATGCCAAGAGTAACATACCACTTCCGGTTTAAAAAGCTATAATTGCACAAAATATTTTAGTCATTAACTTTATAATGAACAATTTTATTTTATAATATACATTTTCTAACACTTCCATTTCTTATTATCATATATTTAATTTACAGGTAAAGAATTAACACACCCCAACGAGCGCGGTGAATATGAGGTAGCCGAGGGCATATCAGCGACTGTATTCAGGGCTATCTTGGAGTATTATCGAGGGGGAACAATCAGATGTCCACCAACAGTATCTGTTCAAGAATTGAGAGAAGCCTGCGACTACTTACTTGTGCCGTTTGATGCTAATACAGTCCGATGTCAAGTAAGATTTATTTTAATTTTGTTTTTGATATGTTTGTCTGTTGATAACTCAGAAACTGTTGATCGGATTTGATAAAGTATTAGTGTTCGATAGTTAATTAAGTAATTTGGTGCCAATAGAAGTAAATTAGTAATTAAAATGGCATACAAACTGAAAAAGATTCTTAAGTAATTAGGAGAATTTAGAATAATAGGTTCTAAGTATGGGAATCTGTAAATATACATATATAATAATAAATAAGCATCATAAAGTTTGTAAAAGGATTCAAATTGAACCAATATTGTCAATTATATAAAGAAAATCACAGATTTAAGTTAGTATGTCAAAAACTATCTACAACTTATTATTGTATGGTTTTGAAATTTAATAGTTTTAATAGACATTCAATAGTTTACATTTTCTTTTACTTCACTATTTCGAATTATTTGAAATAAGTGTATGTTAATTACATATCCCTGTTTGTGTTCCATAATCTAATTAATTTACTTATACTTAAGTTCTTTCTTTTTTAAGTTTTGCTTTCTTTATAATTATATCAAATGTCACTATTTAATTATTTTCAAAATATTTTTTTGATATGACACAAATTCTTTGAATATTGCCTATATTTACATTAAATTACTCTTCAAGACATAAAAGGAGATTTTAGTAACATTTTTACATTCAGCCAATAAATCTATCAAAGGAGGTTTTAATTAAATTCATATACATCCATCGAAGACATTAAAGGAGGTTCCAATTGTCATAACTCTTAGAACCTTCGCGGTCTTTTACACGAGCTGTCAAACGAGGGAGCCCGCCGGCAGTTTGAAAATTTCCTGGAGCGTCTCATCTTGCCTCTAATGGTTGAATCAGCCGAGCGAGGGGACCGAGAGTGTCATGTAGTGGTGCTATTAGATGATGATAGTGTAGACTGGGATGAACAGTATCCACCGCAGATGGGTGATGAATACAGCCAGACTGTTCTATCCACACCGTTATATAGATTCTTCAAGTATATTGAGAATAGGTGAGTCGTTTGTGTAGCCTAGATAGATATAGTCGGTGACTTATATAGTATTGTAGTGGGAAATAAGTTAGTTATTATGGTTAGGTAGTGCTTGAATTATTATACAAATATATATAATACATATAATGAATTTCATAAAACTGAGTGAACATAATAGCTTAGTGGGTATAGCATGATGATTGCTGTTATCAAAGGTTGTAGATATAAATCCTGCTAATAGTATTCAATGTGATAACACTCTTATATTCTCCAATCCCAAGATTCTTGACACATCTGGAGACACCTTAACAATTGTCTTAATAGCATACCATATTGTTTGTGCCACCATATTTAATATTATGGCTACATTATACATATAGAACAAAAATAAAATATAGTTTTTGAGTTCTACATAACACATGTGCATACATGAATTTTGACTGCACAATATAAAATTAATCTGAACATGAAGTAAGATCTAATTTTTACTGGATTTTTGAGTATTCTAATGAATTACTAGACTAGTATTAGAATTACATATACTATGTTTTATCGACGACTTTGTTCGCGTTAATTGCCATTAAATATGTTATTTTTGTCTCTTTGCTCTAACAACATACAAACTCACGAATTTTTCTATTAATTTCAGAGATGTAGCCAAACAAGTGATGAAGGAGCGCGGTTTAAAGAAGATTCGTCTCGGCGTGGAAGGCTATCCGACTTATAAAGAAAAAGTGAGAAAAAGACCCGGAGGAAGGGCAGAGGTCATATATAATTATGTCCAACGACCCTTCATACATATGTCCTGGGAAAAAGAGGAGGCAAAAAGCAGACATGTGGACTTTCAGTGCTTCAAGTCAAAATCTGTGACCAATTTGGCAGAAGCTACCGCTGACCCTGTGATAGAACTTGAGAATAGGGAACGAGAGGTCGAAATTCAAGAACCCGGGGAAGTGGTTGAGGAGGAACAGTGATTTTGGATGCCTCGTAAGGTCAAAGGTCTATTGGCCATGTTTTGTTGGTGACTATCACCAAGAAATTGATAACCGTCTTCAATAACAAGGATTTATATCATCTATTTGTTAATAATCTTTGAAATTATACAGGGTGACTGGTGAATTACTATCAATATTTAAGGAGAATACTTGGTACATGATTCTCATTCGAATTATGTAAAAAAAATAGGTACTTAATTTTTGACAAAATTTCCGTATAAATAAGTAAAGTGTGTACACGTTCCAAGTGTTCAAGTGTGGACACGTGCGGCGGCGTGCTGATACAACACTACGTCACGACACGCGTATGTGTGAGTGTCAGTGTATACCTAATCTGTAGGGTGTTCACACGATGCGTAATTAATTACATAACTTTTGGTTAACTTTACTTAGAAGTTTATTAATATTTATGTTATATTAATTTTTATTTCGTCATATATGATCGTCAAATATCACGTCCTCAAATATCGATAGTAATTTACCAGTCACGCTGGTTGGTTCTTTTTGGTTTGGTTCTTTTAACAAACATATCATTGGTTCTTTTAACAAACATATCAGATATAAAGCCTTTTTTGAAGTCGGTTATTAATTGAAGTGACTCAAATTGTGTGGACAATTTTATGATGTCCGGTATAAGTGATTTGGTGACAAATTAACTATGCATACGATCTTCATGCAAGCTTATATTCCAATTATTCTGCAACAATTATATAAGTATTAGATAGTTGTTGAAAAGAAATTTACAATGTTAATAACGGCCATATTGTTTTAATAAACAAAATGGTAGCTACTCTTATGATATCTTTAGGATAATTGTATGTTGCATTCTGTTAAATAGAACTGCTTTTTTAATATGTTATAACCTACCTAATATATTTCAATGGTACTGTGTTCTTTTATATTATATTGGTTATATTCATATATATTGTGGTTTTATTTCTTTGTTCTATGAAAAGTTTAAGTGGTTGCATTTAACTAAGAACCTCAAATTTTCATAAGTTTGTGAATAATTTTCTAAAATTATGATTATTTTCTTCATTAGTGCTCTTACAATATTATTGTTGTTATATAAGACGGGCAATAATTAATGAAAACTAATTAATAGATACTAATTTACCAGTTAGCAGAAATGTTTTACAAAATATACAGACACATGAAGTTAATAGCAGAATTGTTCAACAAATGATAATATGTTATTTATATTACTGTGCATTGAAAGGGGAATTACTATTAGTCTAATAAGTTACAATTTCAAAGTTTTATTAGTAACCAGATGAATATAAATATATTTTGTATCAATATTAATTTTAAATTAACTTTGCATGTGTTGTCCATTACACATCACCATTGCAGAATGTAAGAAATGATAAAATGGATTCTATCAAATCACCATTTAGAGAGTTATATGTATGATATTTTAACTAATTATTAACAAATTGAACATTCAATTTGTTTACAAGTCGACATAGACTTGCTTGTTTATAGTCGTCCTTAATTTACAGGAACCGTTAATTGGGAAGCATTTAAGGTGCTGTTTTGTTAAAAGTATATTGAAGCAAAAATATATTGGATTTTCTTAAACGTAGATCTAACAGGTTCGTTTCGTATGTTAGCGTTAGTTTTATTTTATACTTATATCAAGAATCTTGAATGTTTTTACTTTTTACGACATTTCATGAAGTCTACTGGACTGAGATGATGATAAATTATTCCTGGTCAAACTTAAATAAATACGCCACTTGTTTTTAAGAGAAGGTACAAAGTTGCAAAAAAAAATACAATGAAATGGTTATTGGAATTTGAGTGTTCACTCAATCTAAGAATAATATAAAATATGTCAATAGTTTTAAATAATATGTCCTAAGTTTAGTAAGTGAGTTCATTTTGTTACCGACAGGCTAGGCTTTTTGTATCGATAAGTATCAGAACCGTACGACTTTTGTAAGTACATATTAATGAATTTATATCGTAGAATTTAATCTACCGTTATTATAAAGAAAGAAGGACTTATTAAAAATATGTGTATATCAATTTTTCAAGTACAATTCATAACTTTATATTAGTAACGTAAGTCAGGATCAACATATATTCCTATATCGAACACCATAGTTGTACCGCGTTCACTCTTCATACGCAAGTTGACGAACGGGAAGCCGACGCCGCCGGCTGTCACATTGACAGATGATTTCGTGTGAAGTGGGTCCAAAGCTTGAATGCCCTAAAATAAAAATATTTAAATCATACATTTACCCACATAAAAAATATATAAAATATCAAACATAATATATAAGCGCTAAAACTGATGCGATCTCTTAAAAAAAACAAGCGTCTTTATCGGGAATTTCCCTTCTAATTGAAGTGAATCAATTTTCTTTTAGATTACAAACAAAAAAACAATATCGATTTTTTAAATTTATATTGCGTTACAAAACACTATAATACATGAATATGTCAGCATTCCAACAGTCGTGTTTATTAAATAATTATTTGATAAATGATGCGTACTTCGAGACTATTTATATTTATAACATATTCATTGCTCAAGGTTATGTTACATTTTAATAAACATGTAATAATTTTCATTTAAACATAAGATAATTAAGACAAGAATCATTTAAATAAAATGATCAACTTACCCTGATAGGTCGGTTGTCTGGTGTGTTGTAAAAGAAAAATTTCACCCTCTTCATAAATGGGAAACCCGCGTATTCGACTTTCGTTTGATTTGCCAAAACGACGCGGTCAGACACGTTCCCTAGCACTAAATGTGAAGCCTTCACACTCAAGTAGGTCACCGAACATATAAATAATATAAATGATATACGCATTTTGCTATAAATTATTGATACGTGCGACGAAGAGGAAATGTCGATCTGTTCTGACTTATGACTTGTTGGGTTATGACTTATGAGTTATCGCGTTTGTGGTACAATTGATGTAAAAACAACATATGTTTTCCCGCCACTTTGTCTAGTTAAAATAAATAACTATGAAGAATCATTTTGGAATAAAAAAATATTGTTATTTAAATAGAAAAGCTAAGTTATATATACATATATATAAGAAATATTTCTTCGTTATCAAAGATAAAGATGTGTACAAAGTTATTTTTACTTTTTTTCACGTAGATTTTTATCTTTTTTTCATTTCTCTTAGATCAAGCTTATTTGTCAACCTAAATTCGAAAATTTTCTAATTTTTCTTTAATGTACCACACACAGACACGATATTTCAAACGAGTATAATATATATTGATTACGAATCAGTTATAACTTTATTTAATTACACGACCAGCTAGTTAAAGAACGGGATGGATGATTTTATGTTATATAAACTTAGTTTTTTCTTATTAAAAGGAAAATCAACACTAAAAAATCACGATAAAACAGAAGCTTATTTATTTTACTTCAAAATTAGGCCTATTTCTTGTCATAAACAATAATATCTAAAATTGGGATGTACTGATGACATTTGATTAGTAATTCTTCATGACGTAATGACTTGGAGGTCGTTTAATAAGAATTTGAGTGACTCATACAAATAACCGACCCTGATTATTGATTGTAACAACAATTTTATCAAGAACAATGTTGTGTATATGAATTCTGTTTAATTAAATATTAAAAAACATCTCTGTTTAAATAGAGATTTGTAGATTTGTTTGCTTTGTTTCATATTTAGTATTATTTAGTAACATTTGTAAGTCGTAATGACTCTCCCAGATGGCGTTAGTGAGATGATATCGAAAATTTATTCAAAATAGAATTGAATTTTGAAACGCACGTTCTGTTAGGTACTTTCTTTTTAAAAGACATAAATTCGTATAAACAATAATAATGAATCTAATTACTATTCCATTATATAAATTTTTATGATTTTCAGAATTTCGGTGCTCTGGCTGATTTGGAAGAGATTCTTCTAGATTCCACGCAGTCAAGCAATTTTGTGTCTTCTTAATAATAAACTGGGCTAATCTCAATCTTACTTACAATCCTATTCCAGGAAATACTATTATTTTAAGCGAAAAAAATATTTATCTCTCTTTCAAGCTTTACCATTTCTATTGGCAATATTTTGTAATGTGTTAAATTATTCCGTGCCTATAATCAGTTATATAATATTTTCGCTTGCACTACTCGTTTCTTTTATTATTTATATATTACGAGATGAAAATTTCATGAAATTACCCGTGATCACGATTGTAACGTAACTAAAACGTTGGGAGTACGTAGTTTAAATTAATAAAAAAAATCGCGTAGTAATCTGAAAATATTAGTTTTATTGAGATACATACTCGCGAATCCTAGATATTATTGCAGTATTGAATCTGTGGTAATACGAACATAAAGAATATTTTTTTGATTTGTAGTATATTTTTGTTTTCTTGGAAAATCAAGGCGAGTTCGAGGCTAAGAAACCAAAGGTTCAGTATCATGGTTACTCATAAACATAACCACTTTTAATTATTTATTTTTTTGTCTGTATATTTCTAATGTATGTAATAAACTTTATAAATATTTTATTTTTATTTTAATGGCATAGTAAGAAAAAGCTTTCGTAGAACCTTTATGTAGAGTGTAGACAATATAAAGAAAATTACTAGTTTCTGTTGGGAAATGGCATTAATTAACTACTTAGATAAAAATAAATCTATTTCTTTAATTTCAATCTTTATTATTACATATCCTGTTTCAAAAAATCGCAGTATTCTTTCTCAAAAGCTCTCAAAGCGCCCTCTGTCTGCAGCATAACGTTTTGTTTCCTCAGATTGTGTATCAGCGCCATCTGTTTGTCAACTGTAGTAATTAAAGCCTTCACCCTGGCTTCAAGACGGCTGATGGCATTTTGTTGGGACGATGAGATATTACGGCTTGATTCACGTAATTCCTACATAATAAAAATATATATTAATAACAAATCAACGAAATAAACACATTACTATATATAATATTCGACCTTTTCAGTAATTTTAGCTGTCTCCAGTTGTTGTTTCAGTGTTGCAATGACTTCTTCCTGCGAGGCGCACCGGGCTTCAACACTAGTGTTTCTGGATTTGATCTGCTTTAAGTCATTTGTCAGTCTGTCTGTTACACTTCTCTGTTCTTTGTAGAGACGTTCTTTATCCTTAATTTCAATAACAATTAAATATATATGATAATTATATATGTATGGAGATGCATAGTTGAAAAACTTTGTACAAAAAATACAAAAGATTTCGAACACATTAACCATTAAGGATTTAGTTCAATTATAAGCCATATTACACATACATTAAGTTTATTTTGCATCACGCTGTATTTAGCTTTAATATCAGCTATCTCACTCTTCATGTTGTTGTCTCTGTTCAATAAAGACAGTCTCTCAGCCTCATATTCCGCTAGTTGGATCATATGTTTGTCATACTGCTTTGCCTGTTAAAAAAGAAAAAAGTTTCAAGAAGGTACCATTTTGATAAAGGGACTTGAAACTGCCACTATTTGCAGATAGATGGCGTTGTAAATAAAATTTAAGTTTAGTTAAATAATTAAAAAAAAATGTAATAAATATTAAAACTATTACATGGAGTTATAATTTACTTGATATAAACCTTATTATTGAAATTATATTTCAGTTATAAATTCTTTCGTAAGAAAATTAAAAAAATCTCTTTAACTTACCTTTTTGTCTATGGCCGCTTGCACATTATTTATTTGCTCTTGCATTAAATTCACTTTCGCTGACATAAACTTACATACACTCTCCACCGTTACTTTATCTTGAACAAAATATACATATTCATTATACTGATATATTTTAAATTTACTTAAATGTTATTACACTTACCTTTTAAAAAAGATGGCGGCAAAACATTATTCTTAACATTAACAGATACAAAGGCATACAGAAATTCCAAATCATTATTTTTTTTATTTATACAATCACACTTTCTCTCCAGCCAGTCGTCTGTGTGTAATTTCTCGTGCATTCCATTTTTAAATTCATTTCTCTCCTTCACTTCCAAGTCTCTATGTTCTAAATTCAAATCATCTTTTTGTATTTGGTTTTCTGTTTTACTTCTCAAATTATCTTTAGTAAAACCTCGTTTGTGTGATCGCTTCTCTGTTAAGGTCGAATTGTTTAAAAAATCAGAAAATATATCTCGTTTTTCCTGCAAAAAAATTGTTTTTAATGTTCTCATACGCAGATTAAACAGTATTCTATAATTATTTTAGTTATAGAAATGGTTGATTCAATTCTCTCTCAAGTTATATTTATAATAAAAATAAATAAAGTGAATATTTACTAAGGATCTAATCCAGAACTAAACTATAATGACAAAAAAATACATTAGAATAAGTTATATTTTACTTAGATTGGTGTTATTTAATATGTATAATTATGTATTTTATAACATTGCCATATCAAATCAAATGTTTAAATATATTTTCTGACTATATAATACTTATGGCAACATTTTCAAATTAAAAAGCCTTTATCAGAATAAAATTATTTTACATATAGTAAACTGAAAAAGCAACTAAGTATATATAAACAGGTAACAACACAAATAGCTTAAAGAAATGACTTTTTCAATAGAAATTTCAGTTTTTTTAAGGTTTAAATAATATTCATTATGTCAATGTCACTAATAAATCTAGTTTTTATAATCTGTGATTTTTTTGCTGTATCTGGTTTGCTACAAGACATAAATAGACTCAGAAAGAATGTATAAAGAAATGTATTTTTTTATACTTCACAATAACCACATTTTATAACTACTAAGACCATTAAGTTAATTGAAAAAAAATGCTATTAATATAAGTATATTTGAATTGAAGAAAGAAATAAAATGTTTTGTATGAATAAATATTTGAAATAATGAAGAGAAGCAATCAAAAGTGATTTAAATAATAAAAATAACCTTTTTTATTTAAGAGATTAAATATATTAAAGAAGATAACCCACCACGGCATTTTCAATTCGTTTCAGTAAATTCTCGGATTTCTTTTCCAGTTGCATATTTAATTTTTTGAATTCGTTCTCACGAGCCAGTAGAATTTCGGAATCCATTTTATCTATTACTTTGTATATTATATAACGCCCAAGTTATTTTTAACTTTATATAAAAGCTAAGTAATAAATTGTCAAGTATCGACAAGACCACTTGACTACCAAACAAAGCGACGTTACTATGGCAACGATGCCATTAGTCATAACACATCCTAAATCATGACACTGTGAGTCAATACAATATCTTTTATTGGTTTATTTAATTATGTGTTCAAATTTCATCAACACGAATTAAATATAGTATAATTTAGTTAATTTGAATTAAAACAGTGCAACTATTTTAAATTAAAAGAATTTATTTTATTTGTTGTTGTTGTTCAAGTGCTGCCATCTGTTATTCGTGATTGTAAGCTTTAATAACCAAGACAGGCGTCAAAAACAGCTGTACACGGACCAATGGAAACAGGTTATGCAAATGTCAATAAACGCGACGTAGAATGTTGACAGATTGCTTTGTCTCCCATATGATTCAATACAGAAAAATGGACACAGTTCCTTTGAAAAACCTATGTTATAAAGAATCGTATTGATGGGAAACACTTGATTTTGATATAACTTTTACATATAATAATTGAACTTTTGATAAAATCCGATTTATTTAACTGCGTGTGAGCGAGATATACAAAGTGAGAAGAGGATAGTTATATACTTGTTTATACGTTTGGAAGATTTTAAATCGATTTACCAATGAGAATTGTGCTGACCAGCTGACATTTTTTTAGTTCAGGACTTCAACGAGTGTCGGTTGCACGCTCGTCTGCTGACGAAAGCTATTTGTTTTAAATAAGACATAAAGAGAGCGTTTTCGCTAGAAACACATTGATAACAGTGCATAATGCATTTAAAGAGAAAAAGGAACGTTTACCGGAGTGTTATATTATAGCGTTGGTGTTAATTTGTGGAGACTGACGATTTTGCTTGCTCAGAAAAGGTGAGTCTTTGTTTTATTTGTAGTATACCATATGTTTAGATTTCTCACCACTAACGCTCAACTCCAACTCCGGTCTGAACGCGTTGTTTAGAAAGTCACAAACCATACAGTCATAATAGAAGCAAATTAAAACTTTGTTATAAATTGCAATTGCAATACGTTGCATTATGCAATCGATAATTGCAAAATAATCAGCTGATTGATGCTAACAGCTGTTTAGACGTTAAAAAACACGCGATATATATTAAAATTATTTGTAAATCATAGCTAGTGATGTGTATTATGTTTTATCGATAGATTGAAATCGCCATTGGTACGGTAACATTGCCAAGTCGATTAGTCAATTTATGTTTAGTTTCATGACACTACACTATGCTCGACCTTCGTCTATCCACGTGTCGGAATATTTAATTTATTACATAACGATTTAATTACAGTCATTATTATTATATTGCCATATTTATTTTTATTATATATCTAATATTTTTTCTCTATCATCGACTATCGTTTCTATTGATTGTAATCGTTTTTGTCACAGTCGTTTTTTGTATTAATGTATATATTTCGTGTTACTTTCGCCACAGTAATGGGAACGCAAGTAACGTTGCAGGAAGTCATTTGTTATTAATGCGGAGGTATTTTTATTTTCGCTTTCAAATTTTTATGAAAATTTAACCGTTAAAAAATGACATATATATATATTTTAACTATTATTTTAAACTTAATATATTGGTTATGTTAATTTTTGATTTATTCATATGCATTAGTATTAAATTTATTAGTATTTTATAATAATTACAATATAATTGAAGTATTTTACGCTTGTTTTTCGTAAAAATTATTTCTTAGTATTTAAATACGTTTAGATAAAACTATCAAGATATTTTATTAATGAAGTTCCAAAAATAAGATTTATCAGTCGACCTTATTTACTGTAGTTTATTTTTTAAAATAAATTGTTATATATTTCGCTTTAAACTACATATTACAGTGTGATAATATATACAAAAAATCCCAGAGGGTTGATGTCAGGCAGGCGGCCGGTCGTAAAAACAATTAGCCAAAACTATTCACAACCTGTAAGGCAGACCCTGGCTAAAGCTGGGAAATTGCCAGGTAGAAGAAGAAAATATATGTATAATATATGTGCAATATTATGAAAGGTGATGTTAAATGATTTAACTTGTATGAAAAGGTATTTTTTTTGGTAATTTCTTGTCATACAATGACATTTAATTCGTTTTGTCTTTAACAACCTCTTGACGGTCGGGAGATGAACTTTGTTGGCTGAGATTTTTTTTCATACGAAGCTTACTTGTTTTTTTTTGGTTTTACACACACACACACACACACACACACACACATGTATATGCATCTATTGAAGTATATTTTTGCGTTTGAAATAACACCCCACTCTTGGTAATTAAGTCACAATACTGAAAAGTATTCTCTATAAGAAACCAAATACTTTATTCCTGAAACAGTTTATAAATATTTTTTATACAAAATGATCATGTATCAAGTTTAAATCCGTTCAGGTGTTTTCACGTAATGGGACCAACAAACACAATAACACTCATATACCTATAATTTGAATATATTCAACAATTATCAAGAACTCATTTTATTTGTAACGAGGCCTCTGATTTCCACACAGTGACGTAATCTGCGTGCGATGACGTCATGGTTGTGACGTATAACTCAAGACTTCATTAAAAGACCATTCTATGTTCTAGAGATCATATTTATGAGATTCAACTGGATATTTGAAGGGTCAAAATTTTTACAATTGATGACGTCATAATAATTAATGGGCCAAAGTGAATTAATGGTTGACTTTTAACTATGTATATATACATATATGTATGAAAATTTATACCAAATTAATTTTCTATTGATTAAAGATCTTCTAGATTATTTTCTTATAGTTTATTTACTTAGTATAATCTCTTCTTAAGATATTATATATTTATGTACATACATAAGTCAGTATATAAGTCATTTGACTTGGTTTATATGCATTTATATTCTATTAGTAATGAATGATGTGTTTTAATTATTTTATTACGAAATCGCAAAAAAATCTAATAATATCATTATTTAATAATAATACATATATTATAATATGTGAGAAAATATCATAGTAAAGGTATATAATAATGTACAGTTATCGATACGAGTTTATCGACACCGGTACATCTCTAGTACAATTTTAGCTCAGAGCGAAAGCCCTTTATTGAGGTCCCTAACCCCTTAGGGCTGAGTCCTTACTGTTTTATTCGATGAAGCCAATTATGAGAAATCGCGAGTTAAGCTACAGTGATCCCGGTCGCTAACGTGATGGGTGGTCATTCATCTTCTACCTGGCAATTTCCCATTTTAGCCAGGGTCTGCCTTACATGTTGTTAATAGTTTTTTTACGACCGACCGCCTGGCTGACATCAATCCTCTTTGGGAATGCATTAATCAGTGATGTCTAAATACTCTTAAGTACATATGATTCGGAAAAATCACGTTTGTACTTGCCAGGATCGAACCCGCGCTCTCCGCAACGAGAGGCGAGCCCTTTAACCACTAGGCCACCACTGACTTTCGGCATTCATATATATATTAAATTTATTGTATATGTAAGTTTATTATTTGATTTAATACTTCTGTATGGTTGATAGCGCCTTCGACCTTGGAAGGTACATGACACAGGTTTGTGCACTGGTAACAAAAGATCACTTGAGAATTAACTTGTTATATATATATATTTTGTATTTCTGTCTGTCTTTTAATATCATATATCTTATATAACTCTAATACTTTAGTTTCTGTTTAAACACGTAGATAAAGTCGCGAGTTCTTCTAGTATGTGGAATAATAAAAAATAAATATATAAAATCATTTGATACACTGAAATTGATCCAGATATTATATGTTAATTGATATATTTTTGTTTCACAACATATATATGTTAAACTATATATATACTAGCTTTTCGCCCGCAGCTTCGCCCGCGTGGAGTTCGGTTATATCGCGTTTCCCAGAGAACCTTTCAAAAGTCTGGGATAAAAACTATCCTATGTTCTTTCTCAAGGTCAACTCTATCTCTGCACCAAATTTCATTAAAATCAGTTCAGTGGTTTAGTCGTGAAAGCATAACAGACAGACAGACAAACAGAGTTACTTTCGCATTTATAATATTAGTAGGGATATATATATAAATAACGATATTGTTTACAATTATAATAACAGTTATTGTTTAAAACAATAGTATTATGACATAATGTGTGTATTCATTATTGTTCATTACGATATTTTAGGTCTATCCTCCAGTTATAGCTTTAATATCAAATCTTTATAAATATTTAATATTTTCGAGAGTATTAATTGAAAAAAACACATCTCGTTTGCCTGTGGTCACCGTTACAAAGTAACCGAAACGTTGACAGTATGTAGTGTAAAAATACCTAATTATAACGGGTAGTAAATTTGGAAAATATTAGTTTTATTTCATCAAATTTTTATCCTTAGTACAAGTTTTAAATTTCAGACTAAAAACGGACAGTTTAATGGTTTTTGTTATAAATCAGTATTTAACTGGAAACTGTTTGTATTGAGTTTTATAGTGAGAATCCATAGTAAGGGCATTTAAAAAATATTTTATTATATACGAGGTTGAACAGAAATTTCGGTTTTAATATTGTACTAGCTTTCCGCCCGCAGCTTCGCCCGCTTGGAGTTCGGTTATATCGCGTTTCCAAGAGAACCTTTCAAAAGTCTGTGATAAAAACTACCCTATGTTCCTTCTCAAGGTCAACTCTATGTCTCTACCAAATTTCATTAAAATCTGTTCAGTGGTTTAGGCCTGAAAGCGTAACAGATAGACAGACAGACAGATTTACTTTCGCATTTATAATATTAGTAGGGATTTTAACTATGTATTAAATAATATAAGGGCGCAATAGTTCATTAGACGTGTCGGCGGTAAGTATGGGGTTCGGTGTTATAAAATTGTATAAATCTAGTATTTTAAATATGTGCTTGATGAAAACAAAAAGCATTATCTCGGCAAGGGGTCTGA